GCCGTGATTAAATGCCATATCATGTTCCAAACCACATCAATGACTATTTCTGAAACAGCATGCTTTGTTTACACATACTCTCTCCAGTACAGCGTTAGCTCTGAGTGTTAGCGATGCTTGCTAATGTAAACAAAGACCATATTGCTTCCAAAACACGTTGCGCATTCTTTCTGATAGCAACGTTTCTGATAGGGCCGCGGGCGTAAAGCCAGCACACATTTCCGATATTACATCATATCGGAACGCAAATCTGGATCAGCTCCGTTGCACCCCCGTTTTTAGAGATGTGGGTACGGAGGAAAAGAGAGAGGGTCTTGTTTTCTGACACTTTGTGAGTTCCCTGACACACTGGGGACACATATGTATGTATAAAATACATCAAGAAGTGCATTTTGCATGATAGGAGACCTTTAAAAGCATCCCAACATCCGCTATGAATCAGTGATGATGAGTAGAATCACCTGTTCCACCGTCCAGTTTCCTGCCACCTCCAGCAGCAGAGAGTCGGGGCTGCTTCCCCCCCGCACCACGGTGGGCAGGATGAACTCCACACTGGTCTGATCCATGGAGGAGCCGGACGACGACGTGATGGCCTTCTTTCTCCTCCTCCTCCGGGGCTCTTCTCGCAGGACTTTGGGCTCTTCGTCGCTCACCTGGGTCTGCTGCCCGTCCATCACCTAGCTGCTGGGGGACAGGCACAGTACTGTAGATATGTGTGATACCAGACACCTTTTTATCAGGGAACAATGATCTTTGACCTTCTAGGCAATCATAACGAAAAAATGTTTCTGTAAATGGATGTGAAAGCAATTTCTGTTTGAAACACTGCTTGATCTTTCTTTCAAATGATGAAACGGCAACAAGGTCGAAAGTAAGGACTAATAATTAACTGAATATTTTAATATATTAAATGAAACTTCACAAAACAATAGCAAATGTCCTGGTATGGCCACAGTACGAACAGATTCAGTTTGAAATCAGCCACTCACACATTGAGAGTGATTACATTCTTCTTGAACATGTCCAATAATTAGATTTTTAGGTTTCGTGTTGATTTTAAAGACTAACAAAATTCCTGATTCTATATTTTTTGCCATATTATCCACATGGTTGATTTGAATTTGTCTTAGTTGTCTCACTAGAACAAAGACTAAAATAGTAGTGCCACTCATTCAGCGAGCGGAGGACTAACCCAGGTATACAACTGATACAATAATCATATTAGCATATAATAAATAGGTCAAATAAAGTCAAAATCATAGATAAACACCAGGGCCTGTTGTAATGAGCTGTTATTAGCAGTGGCGGTAAACGAACCACTAGATAAAGTGTATGAAACAGCTGCCCTGTGGTCTGCAGAGCTCTGTGTGGAGGCGGACAGCTTCAGGATATCTTCTGGGCTTCAAGTGAGGAGGAAGGAAATAAAAAAAGGTTGAAAGGTCTTTCTTTTGTTGTCTAGCCTCATAGATTTCTGCCAGGGGTTTGATGTCCTGATGACCAAGGGCAGGGTCATTTCCACTGCTCCTGCTAATCTACTACACACTTTATCTGAGAACATTTCTGCTTTAAACTAGGAAATTCTAACTGTAATTCATAATTACTACAGCTAAAAGTGTGATTCTATGACTGAGACTGTCCCTAAACAAAGCAATCCTTTATTATTATTTGCTGTGTCTAAAATGACTATGACATCCAATGAACTCAATGTTAGCAGTGAAGTATCTGGAAGGGTTTAATTGCCTTTACAAATTTAGGAAAGCCTCAATAACAGATTGTTGAAAAAAATCAAACTCATGATGTAAGTTGGCTGGAGTCACAAGATGTAATGGTTTCCCTTCTTTAACAGAGGAAGTGTTCAAAGCAGGAAGCAGCTAAACACAGAATGGATGTGAGTGGTGCACAGAGACAGGCTGCTGTTTAAACTCTGTGTTAGAGATATTTACATGTTTACCAGCTGTTATACAGACAGACAAAGCCAAGCAAGGAGTTAACACGACTTTTTAAAGAGTGTGCCGAATGTAACGGTACAGCTGCCATAATAATCGGAAGGTGCCTGTATTTAGTAACACAGAAACATGAATGACTCACCAATGAACGCAGACGGCAACAAAACCAGGAGCTTTGGATGAAAAAGTAGGCATTTATGCTATAAAAAGAGACCTTAAACCAGAGTAAAAATGTGTTTTAAAAGTTTAGTCAGAGTGGAATAAGGAAACGCTGCGCTGCTGCACAGGAAATATGGTCAAGTTCTCCATGATAAGGACCACTTCCGCCTTTGCTTTTCAAAATAAACTACGTACAACAACTCTAAAATAATTATTATCAAAGGTATTACATATGTATGGCTATATTATAATGATATGAGTGTCAGTTTCCTTTTTAAATATATTGTAGAATAAGGAATGTGACAATATATTATATATTTTATTAAATATGTATTATTGTCCGATTTAAGTAAGAGAGTTCACTGCCCTCCAGCGGCCACAGTGAGTTTCTACAGTACGTAGCCTACGTATGTATGTACACTGAACAAAAATATAAATGCAACACTTTTGTTTTTGCTCCCATTTTTCATGAGATGAACTCAAAGATCTAAAACATTTTCTATATACACAAAATAACTATTTCTCTCAAATATTGTTCACAAATCTGAAATAATCTGTGATAGTGAGCACTTCTCCTTTGCCGAGATAATCCATCCCACCTCACAGGAGTGGCATATCAAGATGCTGATTAGACAGCATGATTATTGCACAGGTGTGCCTTAGGCTGGCCACAATAAAAGGCCACTCTAAAAATGTTCAGTTTTATCACACAGCACAATGCCACAGATGTCGCAAGTTTTGAGGGAGCGTGCAATTGGCATGCTGACAGCAGGAATGTCCACCAGAGCTATTGCCCGTGAATTGAATGTTCATTTCTCTACCATAAGCCGTCTCCAAAGGCGTTTCAGAGAATTTGGCAGTACATCCAACCGGCCTCACAACCGCAGACCACGTGTAACCACACCAGCCCAGGACATCTACATCCAGCATGTTCACCTCAAAGATCGTCTGAGACCAGCCACTCGGACAGCTGCTGCAACAATCGGTTTGCATAACCAAAGACTTTCTGCACAAACTGTCAGAAACCGTCTCAGGGAAGCTCATCTGCATGCTCGTCGTCCTCATCGGGGTCTCGACCTGACTGCGGTTCGTCGTCGTAACCGACTTGAGTGGGCAAATGCTCACATTCGATGGCGTCTGGCACGTTGGAGAGGTGTTCTCTTCACGGATGAATCCCGGTTTTCACTGTTTAGGGCAGATGGCAGACAGCGTGTGTGACGTCGTGTGGGTGAGCGGTTTTCTGATGTCAATGTTGTGAATCGAGTGGCCCATGGTGGTGGTGGGGTTATGGTATGGGCAGGCGTACGTTATGGACGACGAACACAGGTGCATTTTATTGATGGCATTGTGAATGCACAGAGATACCGTGACGAGATCCTGAGGCCCATTGTTGTGCCATTCATCCACGACCATCACCTCATGTTGCAGCATGATAATGCACGGCCCCATGTTGCAAGGATCTGTACACAATTCCTGGAGGCTGAAAACATCCCAGTTCTTGCATGGCCAGCATACTCACCGGACATGTCACCCATTGAGCATGTTTGGGATGCTCTGGATCGGCGTATACGACAGCGTGTTCCAGTTCCTGCCAATATCCAGCAACTTCGCACAGCCATTGAAGAGGAGTGGACCAACATTCCACAGGCCACAATCAACAACCTGATCAACTCTATGCGAAGGAGATGTGTTGCACTGTGTGAGGCAAATGGTGGTCACACCAGATACTGACTGGTTTTCGGACCCCCCCCAGACCCCCCCCAGACCCCCCCAATAAAGAAAAACTGCACGTTTCAGAGTGGCCTTTTATTGTGGCCAGCCTAAGGCACACCTGTGCAATAATCATGCTGTCTAATCAGCATCTTGATATGCCACACCTGTGAGGTGAGATGGATTATCTCGGCAAAGGTGAAGTGCTCACTATCACAGATTTTTTCAGATTTGTAAGCAATATTTGAGAGAAATGGTTATTTTGTGTATATAGAAAATGTTTTAGATCTTTGAGTTCATCTCATGAAAAATGGGAGCAAAAACAAAAGTGTTGCATTTATATTTTTGTTCAGTGTATGTAGAAAGTACTATTACTTATAACAAAAAATACTGATAATATTATTGATAATAACGTGACTGGAGATTGAAAATGACTAAACGTAATTATAGTGTCTGGCCACTAGAAAACAATTAAAATACTACACATTTATAATTATCTGGCATTTATGTTAATGCATTTCTTTATTTTTTAAATGTTTTAATGTATCTTATTTTCCGTTATTATGTTCATTGTATGCACCAAAAAAAAGGCATAGTTCTTGCTAGTGCAAACCTCACAGGCAAACATTTCTGATGATTTATTTGAAAAGGATGGACCGGAAGTGTTACCATGTAATCTTGTCTAATTTGAGGTGTGGTGCGATGATGCAGTACCTCCCTCTGACCGCTGGAGGGCAGTAAACACTCACGATTCTTCACTTAAAGTGTCAGCTCCACCAGCATCTTGAGGCAGACATGACAGCATGATCTCCAGAACAAAAAACCTCTAATTAAATAAAAACAATAAACAATACCCATGTGACCCGTCATGTATGTAACAAAAAATAACTTGTATATTTAGATTAGTTATATCGTTAATATTAGTATGCATTTTGCTATTACATGATTATGCCACTTGAATGAAAGGGTAGATACTACTTAATATACTGTCAATTGAAAGAGATATTTGCTCTTTACATAGGAGATCAGATGTGTTTTAGTTGTTAACTTTGGTTCATCTGTCCTTACTTTAACCCAGTAAACCCACCTAACGTTTTCATGTTGTGGCAATAAGAACCAGCTGCACTGAGGCGACCAATGAGAATAAGATAAGCTGCTGATTGACATCCGCTCTGACCAATAGGATCACAGGGCACACGATGTTTATACCAGCCCCCACCACCGTACAAGGCGACTGTTTTGGTGAGTTAAGGAAAGTTCATTGAAATAATTTTAGGAGTTTTAAAGCGTTTAATATGAGAAGTAATTACACCAATTGTATGAATTTCACCCGATCTCGGCAGACGAGTTATAATTTGAAACTGACAACGTTTGTTTTAGGTCTTAAATTGACTTTTTTCTGCCCTCTCCGTAAACCTTCATTGTTGACGTTAGTTGTTTTTTTAACTGCATTTGCGCAATACAATGGCTCGTCCAAATTCTTTAATTCAATGATATTTTCACGCCTAAAGTCTCTTTAATGTGGTTAATGTGTCGTTAACATACAGACTTTAAAGCTTTTTCTCCTTTTCGTCGACGTTACTTCTGTGTTTCTTTTGTTTCGTGACCGCAGATAACGCTGCTTCCTTTGAAGTGTATCGTCGTGTATTAACGTGGACAGCAGTTCCATTTAATAGCAACCCATAATATCACACAAGTATGTCCATTATGTGGTTACTGTCGTGCTTTTCACTTATTTTAAACGACTTCAGATGTATTATCGCTGCCCTTCTCGTTATTGAATGAATGGGCTTGTATGCGCATGCGTAAAATAATCTCAAAGTTTATCAACAAGAGAAGTCACATGACGAGAACATTGTGAAATAGATAAGAATGAAACGAGCTTTTATAACGTGTACATGTTTAGACTGAACTATTTCAACGTGTATATTCAATGTATATCTATTCCATATATAAACTGCGCTGTGAGGATGTGTCGGAGCTTTGTGTATTTGGTAACAGCCCTCTGTGTCCTTATGTCACCCCGGACATGTACAGCCTTTACATTACAGCTCGCTGGAGGATCACATTTCTGTGTCAGTCTGTGACTCATGGCTGACTCATGGCTGATTCATAGCCAGTGATGCTTAGTATACATCGTCACATTTGTTCCTACAGCATATGACAGGTCTATTTCCTTTGTTTTGACATTTAAATTAAGCTATTGTGCAAATAAAGTGAGTGTTGTTGGCTATGCACTGTGTCTGCACGTTTCAGACCATCATGGTGTGGGAGGTGGTGAATGAGCCCACACATCAGAGCGGTGGACACACAGGTAACACACAGAACCGTTAGGCATCTGTACTGTAGAATAGTGATAGAAAAATCCAACCAGAGGTACTCAGACTTTAAGCCCCCAATATCTATATATAATATAGATATTCCAATTAAGCTTTAGAAATCAGTCATCATATTTTATCACGCCATCCCCCCTAACAAAATATAAATCTTCAAACAAAATCCTCAATTTAAATGGAATTAAATGTGTCCCTTTTAAAAAAAAAAATCTTAATATGACAACTGCCTCTAAAACTGTTTTTGTGCGCCATACATTTTGTTTTTGATGACTTAACAGCAACACATATTGATTAAAGCAGACTACTTACATACAAATATGTTGTGTATTATTGAAAGGATTACACCTATGTGTTTTCAAAGATACCATACATATATAAGTTACTTACATGGCCACATTAATCTACGGATAAATTGTGAAATGCCGACAATAAATCCATTCTCCTATCCTGTTGTGTGTCTGGTGTTCCCCTCAGCAGTGGTGATGGATACAGGTGGAGAACAGTTACCTGAGCTGCTCTGCTGTGAGGAACGCCTCCCCTGTTCCCCCGGCTTCCCCACCAGCGACAGCTACATGGAGTACGGTACGTAAGAGAGAAGCGTGCACCTGGTTTCTCACAGCAGATGGAGGAAAAGCTTCAGTTTCAGGGCATGGTCACAGATTTGCTAAATTAACATCGCTTCACGGAGCAACTTTTCATTTTTGCTTTGTGTGGAGTTCAACTTTTGGTGAATTTCAGTCGAATGTTGTCTTGCCTCTGTGTAATAGTGCTTGAAGGCGTTATTTCTGGAGCAAATGTTTGTTTTCTCCACCTAGACGACCTGCCGGACCTGCAGGAGGTTCAGGAGGAGGCGGAGCCAGCAGTCTACCAGGTGGACGTGGGTGTGTCCCACCAGCAGCGACATGCACACACACACCCTCCTGACACACACTGGCTGACACAGCTGGCCCACATCGCCACCGGGCCTCAGAGCCCCCTGCTGCAGGAGCCGGCCACCAGCAGGTACGTGGGCTGGACTAAGACCCCAACGTTAAATGAAAATAAAAGGTGTAGTCTATTTGTCTCCCCATCCACGTGACAGATCGGAGCAAACAACTCATAAGTCAGGAACAGGTTCCCTTCCTAAATATTCTAAATTCCTTTAACTGTCGTCATTCCAGTTGTGTAAATATATTTAACATGTTCATTCAAATGCTAGATCTTCTTTCAACAATTATTTTATCGCTTTACATTTTGTATTATTATTTACATTTTTTATCCTATTTTGTCTATATTTTTACCTTATGTGAATCTTGTTTTGAACTTAACCCTGTTGCTGCTATAAACGCCGGAAATTCCCCAAGTGGATTAATAAAGTTCCATCTTATCTTATCTTCGTTATCTTCAAGGATTTTAGTTTAAAAGTCCATTTTAATAATTGAAAAATATATATTAAAATGTGACATTTAAGATGTGTATGTGTAGGCCCAATGCCCCAATCCATTGTTATTTGGGGAAGTGTATGGCTAGGGCATACATCTTTTTCAAAGTGTGTATTATGTATGCAGTTGTAGAATGTAAACGGTTCCTCAGATTGTTGTGTGGACAGTCTTACACGCTGCACTCCCTCAGCCTGCTTTCCTGTCCTGAGCCTGTGTCATTTGCAGCTCCAGCCTCTCCAGCACCAGCAGTAATCTACATTCCTACGCTCGGCCTCCCCCCTCTCTCCCCAGCAGCACCCCGTCGCCCCCCAGAGGTCGTGGCAGGGAGCGCCTCCGCACCAGGGTACAGCTCTCTTTACCTCTTTCTGAACACAATGTCTGAGAAACACATCTAAAAAAGATCCTTTATCGTGTTTATGTTACTTAAATAGACGGCTCACCTCAGACAGTAGAACGCTGTGTGCTGCAGTGTGTGAACAGATGTGCTTCATGTCCCCACAGAGGGAACCAGCTGTGTCCTCCAGATCCTCTCCGTCTGACGAGGAAGACGTTGGCTGGAGCTTCTCCTGCCCCCCCACCACCTGGCACTGCTTCCTCAAAGGTACACACATGTCTTTCACTGCTAGGAACACATGAAAGTGAGATTTCAGGTCAAAAGCTGTTGTTTATAACTCTTCTCTGTCATCAGGGACTCGTCTGCGTTTCCACAGTGGCTCAAACGTGGACTGGCAGGACGTGGAGGACCTGGACTGTGCTGAGGAAGACTCTGGTGACGAGGAAGGATCCAGGTCTCTGAAGGTACATGATGTTACATAGACATTATTATGTATGACGCTTTAGTTCACTGGAAATGATCCATTCAAATAAAGGGATTGTACATAATTTCAGGGTTATGGCCCCGAGGGTCTGCAGCTGGTGGAGCATTCAGAGACTGTGTTGTCCGGTCAGGCTGTGCTACAGCTGACCTTTGACCCCGGGGCGCTCGGACAAGCTGTCATGAGCGCCCGCTGCCAACTTGACCACCCCTTCTACGTCAGAAACAAAGGTAGGCATGATGAGAAAACACTTGAAAAGCACATCATACAGAGGATGAACTATCTTCCAAAACAACATTGCATTCACTTCCTGTTAGGGTGGTCGTCATTTCACCCGAGCCTGACCGTGGTGCACTATGGGATACCGTGCTATGAAATGGAGGTGGGTGATGTGTGCCTTCCTCCAGGACACAAAGAAGCCAAACACACCGACGACTCGCTGGTTTTTGACACATTTAAGAGGTACAAATCCCCCCTGTTCCCAACCTGAAGCTGCTGATGAATGTGTGTGTGTGTGTGTGAAATGTTTCCTTCTGTGTCGTCCTCAGTTACGACTTCACTCCTCTGGACTCCTCTGCCGTCTACGTGCTGAGCAGCATGGCCAGGCGGCGGCGTGCCTCCCAGTCCAGCGGCTCTCCAGACAGAGACACATTACGAGGTACAGCACTTTAATGCAGTGAACAAAAACACTCTAGGAAAGGTAACAAAAGTAAACCTGTCATTGTGGTCACACCTGCAGACGCCCACAGTCCCGGTCCCTCCCCCTCTCCATGTCTCAAGCCAACCAAAATCCAGCAAGCCAGCGCAGCAGGAAGTAATAATGCCCCGCCCACTAAGTGCAAGCGGCCAATGAACGCCTTCATGCTGTTCGCCAAGAGGTTCAGGGTGGAGTACACACAGATGTACCCCGGCAAGGACAACAGGTAGGTGTGTGTGTGTGTGTGTGTGTGTGTGTGTGTGTGTGTGTGTGTGTGTGTGTGTGTGTGTGTGTGTGTGTGTGTGTGTGTGTGTGTGTGTGTGTGTGTGTGTGTGTGTGTGTGTGTGTGTGTGTGTGTGTGTGTGTGTGTGTGTGTGTGTGTGTGTGTGTGTGTGTGTGTGTGTGGTGTGTGTGTGTGTGTGTGTGTGTGTGTGTGTGTGTGTGTGTGTGTGTGTGTGTGTGTGTGTGTGTGTGTGTGTGTGTGTGTGTGTGTGTGTGTGTGTGTGTGTGTGTGTGTGTGTGTGTGTGCCAGCCAGCCAGTTCTTGTTGTGATGTAATACATGTGTGTGGGTGATTCAGGGCGATCAGCGTCCTCCTTGGGGAGCAGTGGAAGAAACTGCGAAGTGAGGAGAAACGGACGTTCACCGTGCAGGCCAAAGCCCTCGCTGACGAGCAGAAGAGACTCAACCCAGACTGCTGGAAACGCAAACGAACCAACTCTGTACGTATACACACACACACACACACACACACACACACTGCTTAATTCTCCTCTCTAATGTATCCTCTGTGTCCACCAGGGTTGTCAGTGAAATGAAGGCTGCAGAGAAGAAGAGAGAAAACCTGTAGCAGCGCACACACACACACACACACACACACACACATACACACACACAGCTTCAATATCATATCATATTAAGTGTTTCTAAATTCTCAAACTTTAAAAAAACATTTTCAGTTTCATTGGTTTTAACTATTTTAAATCGTCGTCTGTTTATTAGAACAAGTTATACAACATTAAATAAAATATGATATTTTAATGCTAGAGCATGCAGTCGATTTTTCTATCCCAAAATTACGAAGCAGGTTAACCGGTGTTTATTTATGACTGGTGTTCATCTCCAGGGTTTCACGATGTGTAAATGTGACAATTCCTTTAAAAAGAAAAAGAGAGATTCTGGTCGTTTTCAGTCTCTCATCATGTGCTTGAAATAGGGGGAAGGGTGTGGTGCTGAAGCTTTTGGGGTAAAGTAGAACATGTAGCCATTTCCACTTAAATATGTTATATATATATAATGAAAAATAAAAAGTGTTTTATTGCCTGTATTACTTGCATTTGCACGCCGTGTATTGCACAAGACTGCATATTATTATTGACTGTGTAATTTATCAGGAAATATTTAGTTATTAAACAAATGTACGCCACAAATTAACCTCACCTTTAAGAAAAAATCCGGTCTTTTTTTAGGAAGGCCTTGCTTCGTTCACCACCTTAACTTACCTTTCATTTGTAAAACTTTAAAAAGGAATAAGTAAGTGTTACGTTTTCCTTAAAAGTCGCTCGAGAAAGACAAAACGTGATTTAAACTAAGCCTACAGCATAAAGTGTTAAGTCATTATGTGCCTCTTTTGTACTTGAACCTGTCATATCCACACATTGTGTGAAGGGGAAGTGCTTGACCATTTTAAGGAAATATATTAAAAGAGAATAAATATTCCCAGTGTTGTCCTTATATTGTTACCGCATAACGAGGTTCATTCTTAACGCACTATATACACTTTATCGTATGTGACTGCTACAGTATATTGTGTCATACAAATGTAAAGATAATTACATGATAATATATATTTTTGGTTTTGACTTCATTTGTTGTATTGATTATTGAACTCGATCAGGGGGGGTCATACAATGTTTCATAATATAAATAAATAAAAGCATGATGAATCCGTCTTCCTGTTGGTGCTGTGTCTTTGTGTGTGTGTGGTACGGTGGCCGACAGGTGCCAACGCGCTACAACAGCCCGAAACATTTTAATTATGAGAAACAGGCTGCACTTTCACAAGCGATACAAATGTAAAAATGCAAACGTGCCAAAACACATGCAAGTATAGAAACATGCACAGCTTTTACGAAGCGCTGCAAACGAAAATGTGTTGGTACATTTGTGTTTTTATAATTGCATCGTTTTTGAAAAGTGCGAAGGGGAAAAAAATGGACACAATCAAAAAAGTAAAGGGAGAAGTTTAGGTCTGAACAAGAACATTTTATTTGTTTCCCACCCGGAAAAATAAACAAGTTTAAAATCATAAACAAGGTTGGAAACATAAATCGTGTTGCTATTTTTATTTATTTACATACTGCACCAGTGTATGGCTGGAAATAAAAGGGATGGACATTAAGCTGCTACTGTAATCATAAAGAGATAACATCCATTAAAACTATAAACATGACCAACATTTCCAGGCTAAAGTTATCAAATAGATCCACACAGTTACAGTTATATTGTATATGTGTAAAGGACTAGAAAATCACTTTTTTTATAGTAAAATAGAAAATATATAGAGGTACAGTATACATACAGTAATGTTGGCCTTTTGATGTGTTCAGGGATATTTACACAAAGTGGGTGCAGTCGCCGTCTGTGCCATTTCGCTTCCCCAGATGAGCAAAATAAATGGCGGAAGCAAAGCAGAGGCAGACAGAAGCTGCAGCACGTTATTCAGACATCGATCGATCGGGTCTGAGGCAGTGGAAACAAACTGCAAAATGGAAACAGTCGTAGCGAGTGGCACAGGGATGCAGGACGTGGGGAAGTCTGTCTTTCTTTCCACTGTCACTGAACGCAACAATGGAGCCGTGTTTCCATAAAATGTCAAGAAAAGCTGACATTTCACACACAAAATAATAGGCATCCAAGAAGAATCTTCCATCGTCTGGTGTGGAGTTCATTTGCCTCCACAGAGCGTAGTTTGGACAGAAGTAAGTGGCTGTACTCCTCCGGGTAACAAAAGCAATATTTAAATGTCTCTCTCCTGGTGACAATATAAATATATATGTCAGCAGAAACAGCTGATCAGTCATGTGACTTAAATGTTTGCCACAACTTATCCTGCAGAGGAGTTTACATTTAGCATCAATTCCTTTTAAACTAAGGCCATTTCCCCCCGAAATGAACAGTAATTCTCTAATGCGATACGTCCAAATGTGAATGGAAACACGGCTTTTGTCTCGGCTGAGTGATGCTGCACTGATTTTATTCTCGCTGATTATAATGATTGATTCTTGTGCTGCCCTTTATTAAAACCTATGGATTCAATTCCTTAACGAAAAACTGTTACTTCTTATCCCCGCATGTCTAAGCCATCAGGCTAATGGGGACAACTTGCATCTTTTACAAAATATCCGATGCCTTTTAATCTCCTCTCAGACCTTTACATACACAGCAACATGCGCAAAATACTTTAATAAAGTAGAAAAAAATCACAGGTCATTATTTTGGCATATTAGTCACACAGTTGTATCAAAACAGGCTTGATTTGAGTACGATAGGATGAATTAGAAAAGGCACGGGGTATCAGAGTCCATTGAGCCAGTGTAACAGCGGTAAACACCTTTACGTAAAATAATAAACGTCACTAGTGAGGCCTGGAGAGGTCAAATATTACTCTAAATAAGGAGAAGTGCTAGTTTGAGCCCCAGAATCTGCTGGTTAATGTTGTGCACTGCATACAATGTACAAGAAATCAAGCGCTTAGGAAAATGTACGTTCCCTTTTTTTTTTAAATTAAAGTAATCTTGTTTCATTTGTTTTGCCTTGAGTATAGGAAAACAAACAAACACAAACCAAATCTAAACAATGCTGCAGAAGTTGTACATTTAGTGTGTAAGTGTAACTGAATAGCTGACTCTTCATCGTTAAGAAAAATATCTTGAATTAAATATTTAGAAATATATTATATAACTAATGGATTTATTTATGCTTATAAGACACTTTATTAATGCTTTATAGATCAGTTATATGCTTCTAAATATTGCTAATTCATCAATAAATGTTTGTTATGTTTTTGCTTTCTAATAAGACGGGAGCAATTCAGTTATAATTGTACAGGTCGCAACCTGGCAACACAAACTAACTGATCTATAGAGCATTAGTAAAGGATCTGTTAACCGTGAATAACTCCAGTAGTTATTTAACAAAAAAGATGTCCTTTATAATCACCGTTTTACTAGAAAAGGGGCACTTTTTCTGGTTTTAAAAGAGGCGCCACATCAGGAATGAGATGTGTGTGTGTGTGTGTGTGTGTGTGTCTACATGAGGGACTCCAGGCTCTCAGCGATGTTGTTCTGACCCAGCGGCACGGAGCCGTTGGTCTCTGGACTCTGCAGCGCTCTCTGGTCCTCCTGGCTGCTCACCAGGCTCAGCACGGCGCGGTACAGATACTGGTACTGCTCCTGGGGAGGAAACACTGCAACAGTCAGGGCTTTACCATAAAAAACATTACCAGCTTCTTCTCTCTACAGTCTGAGGATTGTAGATCTCTCATTGGTTGTTATTCATTTGTGTCCTTGTTTGTCAAAGCTAAGTTTGGTAGGAAGGAGGACTAAGGCTATTTTCACACGGTTCATGTAGTCCAGAAAGATATAGGACAATAATCCATTGTTTCATTTTTCTTCTGGTCCGGTTCCTGTTCACACTGACGTTTAAACTGAAGTGACAGAAGTGTCCGCAGCACTTTAATGCTTTTGATCTATTTTATAAATATTATATAAGTGCAACAAAGAGATCATCAAGAAACACCTGATTATAAGTTGTATTGAATAATGAGGTAAAGACAGTAATGATTCAGGCTAATGTGGGATTGCTGTTACACACTTTTTAAAGACTGACTATGCTGACTATAAATAGGTTATATGCCACAAATTGAGTCCAGACCAAACAGGTTAGGTGTGAAAGCACATTAGTGTGTGTGTTGTGTGTGTGTGTGTGTGTGTGTGTGTGTGTGTGTGTGTGTGTGTGTGTGTGTGTGTGTGTGTGTGTGTGTGTGTGTGTTTTGGTGTGTGTCCAAACTTACTATATCATTAAACACCCCAGGCCTCATGAGGTTGGTCATCCGTGCCACCTGGTAAACATCCACTGCTCCGTCTTCCTCCAGCTGACTGCACAGAGAGGTGAGGGCACAGAACAGCCCTGATGTCGCTCCGCCCAACCTACGCACACACACACACACACACACACACACACACACACACACACACACACACACACACACACACACACACACACACACACACACACACACACACACACACACACACACACACACACACACACACACACACATATATTTACCCTCACAGAGCAAATGAACAGGAAGTGAAAGGAACAGGTGCTGCTCTCTGTGTGGTACTCACGGGTCGTGTACGAGTGTGGGGCTGTCCGACAGTCTGCTGTGCTCTCTGACTGTACGGATCACATCAAAGCTGTTGCTGATTGGACTGTCAGGGTTTGGCCAGCAGGGGGCGCTGTACTGACGCACCTCCAACACATGGTGGTCCTGACAGAGATAGAAACACAGTCTTGGAAATATTTTTTCTGAATAGTCACACTTTTGGTTTAACCCATCCTAGTGTTAGTTAACAGAATATGGTTAGAGGTACAGTATGTGTGTGTTACCTGTTGGGATTCCAGCGTAAAGTCCTGCACCAGAAGTCTCTCGTCATTGGACAGGCACACATGCTCCTCCCCCGAAAATGACACAATTAACCCCTCAAAGCTCATTGGCTGGTCTTTACTGGGCCAGTAAACACAAGAACCGCCCTCTTCACTCTGATGTGAACAGGAAACAGGAAGCAAATATTGATATCATGGACTTTTAATGGACAACACAGGAGGGGGAGGCTCGAAAGACACAACACATATTAGAAATATGTCTATATATTTCTTAAGTGACGATTATGGAACAGCTGGCAATCTTGACGTCCTTGACCCATTTTATAGCATCAAAATGACTCATTTAGACCAAAGTTATCGGAAAATGAACACTAACACGTAAGAACAGTGTGATAAGAACAACCTAAAATACTTAAAATATGGGAAAACTGTATTTGATGTGTTTTTATTCTTAGACTTATTCTTTCGTCTTATTTCCTGTATATGAGCTATACTGCAGACAGCCACTAGGGGACAATGGAGATGTTTTGGCGCTTCTTTCAGAGAGCTGCCATGTCCATCTTTATACAACACAGTCTGTGGTAATGAGTGTTATACCTGGCAGTGTGTGTCTGGCAGACCGACAACAGTGTGTGTGTCGTGTTCCCAGATCAGTCTCCAGAAGTCTGCCACCGTGCTGTCCAGAGGAGTCTGGCTCACTATGAACTCCTTACTGTGGTGATGTCCCTGTGGAAAGAGCAGCAGCAGCATGAAACTACCAGCACATGTTGATGTCCCAAAAATCTAACAACACACTTCCTGTTGTCTCACCACGACGTAGGAGGCGTTGATGTAGCCGGTGGAGTTTGACTCTGAAGCGCTCAGACACACTCTCGATCGCTCCACTGCACAAAAACAGAAGACAGCTGATCACTACATTATCTGTTTTATTTGTTCCATGTCCTATATATATGTTGCACTGTCGGAGAAGCCTGTGACCTACGTTTTTCATTGCCATATCTACACTGTAGCTAATGTGCAAATGACAATAAAGCCTTGAAACTTGAAAATGAACTTGTGTGTGAACAGGCTGTGGGCTCACCAGGCATCAGGGCCCGTGCTCTGTTCCTCTCAGCGTTGCCGTCCCTCAGGGCGGTGCTGTAGTCTGCATGCTTCGCCTGGCGCTGGCTGATCAACTGAAACAGGACAGAAACATGACAGTAAGTGTCGGTTTAAACGCATGCCTAAAATGTACAGAAGTGTTATGGTTAGGGTTTACCTTGAACTGTTTTTCCATGCGCGTCCTGCCCGATGCCCCGGGGGTCAGGAGATCAGACACGTAAGTGTGAAGGAGGTCAGAGGTCACCAAGGTGCCACGGCTCATGACGGCCTCCACCAGAGCGTCATGGATGAAAACGTACTGCTCCTACCAGAGGAAACACTTTGTTCTCCTTGTGTGTGCTTATGGTTGTGTGTGTGTGTGTGTGTGTGTGTGTGTGTGTGTGTGTGTGTGTGTGTGTGTGTGTGTGTGTGTGTGTGTGTGTGTGTGTGTGTGTGTGTGTGTGTGTGTGTGTGTGATAGGTCACTTACCTCCGTCTGAACCAGGAAGTTCCTCTGCGTCCGAACGTGTTTCAGGAAACCGAGAACGTTCACAGTGCCCTGCTCCTGGATCTGCTGCAGCATGCTGTCAATCACTATGTAGGTTCCTGTCCGCCCTACACCCGCACTGGGATCACATATCAAAAACATACAATGAGTACACACTATGTATGTATATGAAATAGTAGTAATCTCTCTGTAAATCCCCAGTTTATACCTGCAGTGTACGAGGACGGGTCCCATCTCCTGCGTCCGCGCCCTGGAGGACGCTCTGATGAAGGACAGCAGAGGCAGAGTGTATTCTGGGACGCCCATGTCTGGCCACTGGGTGTAGTGGTAATGTAGGACTGTGTGTTCAACTCTCTTCTGAGGAGCCTGGAGGAGGGAGACAGCGTTATTATGCATTTGTGTGTTTATGTATGTGTGTCTGTGTGTGAAGACGTACGTTATTTGTGGTGTCTCTCACAGAGAACGTCCGCAGAGTGTAGTAAGCCAGGACGTTGATGCTCTTCAGGGTCACCTGGTACGCCCCGTATTCCTCCTGGTTCTCCTCCGGCCAGTACTGCTCACATTTTGTCTGCAGACGGAGGACAACGATTAAAACAGGAGCCATTGACCAACAGATGTTTGTGTGGGTTGTATTTGTCTATTCTACAGTACTGCAATACTAAGTGTTTGTCAACAGCTTTAAAATCAAAACTGTCCCACTTGTTAAATATCTGCTCAAAGATTGTTGGTCAACCCTTTCAGAGACTTTATGACTCAGCATACCATAATAACCTAGTGAGGATGTCCAACAACATCATCTCTGACCCAAACCATGTTCTGAACAGCAAATAGGAACTGCTACCATCTTATCAGAGATACAGGGTCCAATAAAGTCAGACTGATGCATTCCTTTGTGCACCAGTCAATCCTAACAGTAAATACAGAGCTAACTCCCAGATCAAATGCACGCTAAAGGGTCTTCGAGCATGCTTTGTGGCTTCCTTCCTTGTTTTTCTTTCAAGCCACTAGACGCCTTAAACAGACATTTTTAACTCGTTTTCTTTCCTTTATATTTCTTACAGTTGAAGATTTGCTTAGCCTCCGATGGTTTGGATGATGTTATGCGATGCGTTTACACATGCAACAAAGAGAAGAGGCCTTTACAATATTCAAAACAAAAATAAAATAACAAACAACTTAGGTATTCTTTCTTATATATATAACTTAATAACCTAAAGGATAATTGGACGGTTAAAAACTGTTCCTCCACGGTGTCTTTCTAGCAGGTTGCCCATCACTGTCACTTTCGAGCAGGCGCCATGGGAATTGTAGTTTTTTATATTGTGTTGACTACAGACAATTAGGTGGCCTTTCTTATAAAAAACGAAATACTGGCTCTGTTTTTCATGTATTGTGTCGTGATATCTGTCTATGTTGATGTTACATATCTAGCTGCTGTGATGCAAGTCAAATTTCAGACTTGATCTGACCGTTAAAGTATTATCGTATCGGGACAGCAGCAGAGTGACGCCCTACCCGTCCTTTCTCCTTGAGGTTGGTGATCATGACGATAACGCCGACGTTCTGCTGCCAGATCATCCTCCAGAAGTCTTCCCTGCTCGCTCTGAGGGGCCCCTGGGCTGCGATGTAGGCCCTCGTCCGCTCGTAACCCTGCAGAGGAGAGCACGGGTGTAAAAGACCCACCTGACCTACGACCTGCAGCCAGTCTGCCTGTTGACATACTCACATCCACAAAGTTAGCATTGATGTAGTCTCCACAGCTGGCGTCTCTGTCTAAACTGCTGGAGAGCTTGACTCTACTATGGTCATCTGGGAGAGGAAAGGGTTATTCAGCTTTATCCATGCTTTGATTCTTTTACAATCATTCATAAACATATCTAAACATGTTGGTTCAACTGAGCTAACAGCATTCAACAGGAAGTGTACGTTTTCCTAATTGTAATCCAATACAGACATCTTTTGCTGTACTCATGTAGAATACTTTACCTACAATGGATCACATTAAACTCAAACAATAAATCCTAAATCCTGTAGAGATGAATGTTCTGCTGCTTCTTGCTTTACGGCGCCGAGCTTTATGCGTTTGTGTAGTGTTGTCTGTGTTTTCTTTTTCAATTTGAAGCTTTGACTTTTAATGTACGTGCCTGTTGCTTAGATTCTATCTCTTCTACTAAGTTAATATATAGCCTACTGTAGTGTGTGTCAGAGTCCTGCACGGGTCTGATTTCCAAGACCCGCTCCCGCCCCGCACCCGCAACGTGCAATACCGAACCCGCCCCGCTACCCGTACATATTGCCAATTAGTTCTGCAAACCGACCCGACCCGTCGGCCCAAGATCCGCAACCCGACTCAAACCCGCATATTCTATATGAGCAGTGAAAACGTGCAATTATTAACACATGCAGTTGCATATTTGGCTCAAAAAGCGTGGGATGTTGGTTCTTTTCTCCATCTAGGATGACACTAAAAGCCTCCCAGACGTTGGATTTCGCTCTTGAGGAAGTGTTATTGAAAATGCTGTATTCTCCGCTAGAGAGCTTCACCTCAGCCATTTAGATTGTGGCGCGCTCAGCAGCAGATTGATGCGCTGCAGAGGTTATGATTATGTGCGGTCCCGCGGGGGAGAGGTCTGAGGATTTAAACATTAAACTCAATTATTATTATTTTAATATATGTATTATGCAACACCCGCGACCCGACCCGCATCATCTTTGTTTTACCCAGAACTGAACCCGGAAAAAAACGTTTTAAAAAATACAACCCGCAAATCACTTTTTTTGCGGGTCACCCTTCGGGTACCCGCGGGTACCCGACCCGACGCAGGACTCTGGTGTGTAGTACTGGTTTATGCTTCACATCTATCCTTATACAAATAAACATAGCAGTGGAAATAAAGTGTTGAACAGTGAACATAGTGAACAGGGACATACAGGCCAGGATGTTGATGTATCTGTTCTTGCTCTTGTTGTCGGGGTGATTGGAGCTGTCTGCAGTGATGCCCATGTCCACAGTGCACGCCTGCACCTCCTGAGAAACAACATTAAAAAAGATGAAAACACAAATAAGACTAACATATATAACACAAAGAAGCTCAGTCGCTCAGAGAAAGCTAAACATGCCAATTAGCACAACCTATACTGGAGTGGATATAGTGTTTTTCTTCTGCTTCCTTTTTTTAGATGTTTGTAGTGTTACAATACAAAGTCAAGCATCTACAGTGAAGACAAGAACAAAGAGGCGAATAGGCCTTTGGAATGAAGTTGTAACAAGCATTACACATATTTTGATATGGGTGAACGCATCAGAATTGGGTGTGAAATCAAAGCACTCATTAGGGTAATATTAAAATGCTCAATACAGCTTCATTTAGAGACTGATGCTGCTGAATGGACCCCGATTCAAAGCTCATATTCAACACAGATGTGGGAGGACAAGCTGCTGCAAGGATGCTAGGATTTTTATTTTCATTCTTCTAAAAGGATATTAGCATCCTTGGCTCCAACTCAGATTGAAATATGTCTGTAAATGAGCTTGTATTACACACTAAAATCTGAAAGCTCAACCGCACACAGTCCTTACTAACTTAAACTAATATTTCTAGACAATTATATCGAAATGCCTGAACATTACTGACAAACTAAACATTTCATTCATATTTATCAAACAGCATATTCAATATCACATCTGAAATAAGCTGAGTGGAAAACTGTGTGTGTGTGTGTGTGTGTGTGTGTGTGTGTGTGTGTGTGTGTGTGTGTGTGTGTGTGTGTGTGTGTGTGTGTGTGTGTGTGTGTGTGTGTGTGTGTGTGCAGACGCCCACAGTCCCGGTCCCTCCCCCTCTCCATGTCTCAAGCCAACCAAAATCCAGCAAGCCAGCGCAGCAGGAAGTAATAATGCCCCGCCCACTAAGTGCAAGCTGCCAATGAACGCCTTCATGCTGTTCGCCAAGAGGTTCAGGGTGGAGTACACACAGATGTACCCCGGCAAGGACAACAGGTGTGTGTGTGTGTGTGTGTGTGTGTGTGTGTGTGTGTGTGTGTGTGTGTGTGTGTGTGTGTGTGTGTGTGTGTGTGTGTGTGTGTGTGTGTGTGTGTGTGTGTGTGTGTGTGTGTGTGTGTGTGTGTGTGTGTGTGTGAAGAGGGGGGTTAGGGTGATACTGCAGGTTTCTTACCTCATAGGATTCTTTGACAATCTAATGGAGGGTGGTGAGGATGCAGAAAGCACGACGATGGAGGTGGAGGTGGTACAGAGTGGAAGGGGGGGGGACAAGATGACAGACACACACATAGACAGACAGACAGGGAGTCAGTGCAGGTACAGGAATATGGGGTTCAGGTACACACAGAGGGGCGTTGCTAAATGGTAAACAAACAGATATGAGCGGTGAACTCTTGACCATGTTAGCCTTGGCTTAGTATTCTGCACTGTATAGAGACTGATGGTCGTGCAGCTATAGAGTAGGCAGAAACACTGACCATTACACAGCAGCAGTATCCTGTATGTGTGTGTGACTTAGAGGGTCATGCCAGGAAACAGGGGACGAATGTCATGCAGATGGACCTACTGTTAAAACTCATCCATGTCAACTCTTATAAAATACGTCACAACATTACAGTTGTTTTTCTTATCGCTAACATACTTTTGTTCAGGCTGTAGTCACATTTTCAAAACACAAATAACATCAGTGTGTGGATTTGGGATTAATACAATTCATGTTGTTTTCCCACATTATGCAGTCTTTTAACACATTTCTAAAATGCGCATCTTATAAATATTGAATTGGCCCTTCAATAGTGTTTTATTTATCAGATCGTTTACAGACTTTTATCTTCATGGTTAACTGTTTTACTTTCTATTTTGAGACGTTTACAGTCTATAATTATTTATATTATACTCGTTTGAATTTATAATAATGTGCTATGCCTTATATTTGTATGCTGCTGTAATGAAAACATTTCCAAATTTGAGATCAATAAAGTATTTCTTAACTTATCTCATATACAAAACCTTCAACACATTGTATTCTCCCCCCATTCTGTGCTTTCTTACAGTTTTTATTTTTATTTTGAGAAAAAAGTAACTATTAGCTAATTGTGTGATGTGTGTATGCAGCTGTTATGAGTTTATTAAAAGTATATAAAGGTAAACGCTTCTTTAAGATGTGTTAATCCTCCTCAGAAGACATTTCTAAAATCTCTTCATTTTCAGTATAAACTGAGATTAAGCTTTTACCAAATATGTCTGGGATGAACACTGCTATGGTTAATACAAAACCCCCTAACTGTTTAAGTTACACATATCACTCTCCTAAATGATGCTCCTAAAAAAATTGTGAGAGAGAGAGAGAGCAAGAAGAGAGTATGAGAGAGAGAGAAGAGAGAGGAGAGGAGAGGAGAGAGAGAGAGAGAGGAGAGAGAGAGGAGAGGAGAGAGAGAGAGAGAGAGACGAGCAGAGAGAGATAAAGAGAGTGAGAGACAGAGAGAGAGAGACTGAGAGAGAGATTGAGAGGAGTTACAGGGGTTGTTGTTAGCATCTGGTGGCTAACTCGGAGCTAACGGAGATTATAAAACTGTTTCAACAATAAGGAGAGGGATAGTCCTCTCCTGTTGGACTGAGAGGCTGAGATAACATCAGTTCAGGTGAGGTAAAGGACTCTCTGAGTGATTTTACTTCAATTTAAAGAAATAAATCTTCCCGGGGGTGCATGCCCCCGGACCCCCCTAGAGGATGTGAAGTTCACCCACAAATAAAACAGGTTCACATGGAAAGGATACTAGATAAGTTTGCACACTCATTAATACACTACACATTTTTCTTGGATTTTTTAACGCTATAGTCTAATATATTTGTAGATAGGCAGGAAATTGAATTAAATCGAGAAAATGTTTCATTGCGGAGGACCCCCTGTTTTGTGTCCCCCCCACTTCTCAAACCAAAGTTACACCCTTGTAATAGAGGTATGGAAGAGCATTAAGGAGCTATGACCAACAGGAGCTAGCTACAAAACTGAGAGACCCCCTAATGTATGCTGTTGATCCTTTCTAAGCAGAATCACAAGGAATCTCCCACTGTGTCTGTCTTCTAGTTTATATTCCCGCCCTGAGGAAAGTTCACAGATATTTTGATGACTGAAATACTTTATTTATAAGGATTTACACACCTCAAACTCCTTGGAGAAAGTGTTGGTGGTGTGCAGCTCCATGACGTGCTTCACAAACTGCTTCACTGTCAGTGGCTCGTGACCGTCTGCAAACAAAGACCGAGCGTTAAACTGAAGTTCCACTTTAGCGTTTGATGTCGAAAGGATAATAAATGTGTGTGTGTGTTACCTGTGGCCAGCAGCAGGGGTGTAGATGGAACTGATATTACTTTAGGTGACGCACTGTCATCTGGGTAGAAATTAGCCACCTGGAAACAGTTTCTGTGACACAAAAACATCCAAACCTGAGTAAAGTACACAAACTGAGTCAGGCAGATATTGACTGTGTGTGTGTGTGTGAGTGTGTGTGTGTGTGTGTGTGTGTGTGTGTGTGTGTGTGTGTGTGTGTGTGTGTGTGTGTGTGTGTGTGTGTGTGTGTATGTATATGTGTGTGTGTGTGTGTGTGTGTGTGTGTGTGTGTGTGTGTGTGTGTGTGTGTGTGTGTGTGTGTGTGTGTGTGTGTGTGTGTGTGTGTGTGTGTGTGTGTATGTGTGTGTGTGTGTGTGTGTGTACCTCCAGTAGACGAGTATGCCCGTCAGTACCAGCAGACAGAGGATGGTGAGAGTGGAGACGACGGCCAGAGGAACGACTGTCCTCTTCTCCCTCTCCAAACCTCCGACCAGCCCCACCCGAGACTCATGGCTGCTGTTGCTGCCCTCTGAGAGAGAGGAGAGAGGGAGGAGGGATGGTGGGTGGGGGGTGGGACAGAGACACAAAGCTCAGAGATCATGTCAGTGACTACATCTCTACAGATTCCATGGAAACTGTGCATTTGACAATAATACTGTATTAAATTATGAGTTACAAATGTAATATACTATATACAATTTATATAACTATAGTCTATATATCCATCTACATTTTGATCACAACAATGAGGCAGCCTGTCTAGTTCAAGAATTATTTCCATACTGTTCCGCTTCGAACATGACACACCATTCACTTTTCATTCCTTGCTTCTTTTGTTGGCCACTTGGGGGCAGCGCAATATAATGGCTTTTGGGTTAAAACAGTTTGTGCAGTTGGGGGGTAAATCTAGTCATTTCATCCCCTGTTAATGTAAAATGTTTTTTGTGTTGCCTCTAGCAATTATACAGCTCTGTCCCTTTCTGCTAAGGAATAGCAAAGTAACATTTACCTTCCTTTTCCTGCTCCTTGGCCTTGCTGCCGCCTGTCAGTCTGAGCAGAGGGACGAGCCGCCCAAACAGGGGGGTCCTTCCAGCGTCAAACAAAAACCCGCCCTTACTTGAGTTGTTCTGCAAACTCTCTCCAACTCCAACTGCATCTCTCATCTCTTCCCCAGCTCCTCCAATGTGTCCTTCCAGACGTCCAGTCAAGTCAACGGGACTCAAAACACTCATGACTCCACCTTCTTTATCATGTCCTTTATCACGGTTGTCTTCACTGCTGTCAAACAGTGGGCGCTCTGCTGAAGTTTTATCTTGACTGACAGACAGCTGGACACCATCTCTTCCTTCCTCGCCGTCTTCTCTTTCATCACCTTTGTCACAGCCTACTGCTTTGAGTCTGTCTTCACTTACTTTCTTTCCTTTACCCTCTCCATCGCCACTACCTTCTGCAGAACCGCTGACGTCCTCAGGCCAGCTTGACGCAAATTAATTCCCACTGCCGCTCTCACTGTATATTGTCTGTCTTGCAACAGCATCATTTACTTTCTCCTCCAACACTTCACCGCCTGTGGAGCTATTGAACTGTCTCTCATCTGTTTCACCATCTACTTCCCTCCCTCCCTGAATCCCACTGTTGTGTACTCCTTCTATCTTCTCTTCCTTCTCCCAATTTAGCTCACTTTCATTCTCCTTCATTTCTCTCTCTACCTCTGTTTCACACACTTTTTTGAAACTTATTTCGCTCCTTTTCCCACTACCATCGACCTTGAAGCTGATCATTGAATTTAAAATAGTAGAAAGGTCGGTTTGGAATGTAGGGACTTCATTATATTCCTGATTGATGAAAAGTCCAGAGCCTGATCCACTCTCCTCTGCTTCTTTATGTGTGTCCGTCCCCACTTCCTCGTCATGGTCAAGGTGTATCAAGACCTTTGAACCATGCTGAATCGCACCATGAGACTCCTTATGAGACGTTTTTAAGGCATTTCCTTCTACTGTGTTCGATATGCTACTCAAGTCATAATCAGGCAGCAGAGAAAGTGAGGTCGGGGAGATCGGAGGGTTCTCTGGATGTAGACGCTGGGGGTTGGCGATCACTCTTCTAGAAGTGTGAGGAGAGTTTGTTAAACTAGAGAACCGGTCAATAGTTGAGTCCTCAACCTTGAAAGTTGGTAGATGTTCTGCAGAAAAAGTAAAAAGTCTGCAGAAACAACTTTTCCAGGAATGTGTCCTTTCAAAATAGGTCCGCCATGGAAGGAAGATGGAAGCAAAGGTAAGAATTTAACTTCCGAGTTCACAGAAGAGTAGAGATAATCAGAGTTAAAGAGTCATGACTCAGAAGAATTGGTCGTTTTTGATTTAGTTTCTGAAGAAATGTCTTAAATCAACCCCTTCATTTGGAAGCATTGAAAACAACCACCACCAGAAGGCGCCATTGAGCCACAGACAGGAAGCAGACCCAGAAAAGAAATCCCAAAAGTAGAGTAGATGCAAATCACTGAGCCTGGGGACTCCACATGTGACCTCATGTGGAGCCCTAATAGCTGCGAGATTTGAAGAATCGTCGAGCATATTTCATGATTGAGCCAGCCGCTGATTATCATTCTAATCATCACCAATGCCAGTTTATTATGGTCGACCGTCATCATTACCACCACCAGCATAATCCACATCCTACCGCCATGCGCACGTGATGAGCATACTGGGCTATTAGAGGAGAAAGACCATCATCCACCGCAATCAAGACCTGCTGTCTACCCTCCACAAACACATGTATTTATATTGCTTTGATAGAGGAAAATCCATCAGATAATAGCTATTTTTTTCATAATTATGTTATATATTAGTTGAGATCTTACCATTCAACATGGGCTGGGTTGTGTGCACGAGCCCCCTGAGGAGGGAGGAGGTGGTGAAGGACTTGTAGAGGGACTCAGCCAGCGTGTTGCTTGGGGTCGCCACCCGTCCTGTGATCCATAGTGGCGGAGGGGCGGAGGACACGGAGGTGCTGGTTTGTGGGCGAGGTTCGCTAACGGGGGTGCGGCTGTCTTCAGAGGATGGCAGCGAGACTTTGACCACGGTGTGAGCTGTGGGACAGGAAGCACATTAGGATTACATGCTGAGATGCACGTTGAGCCACAACAAGAACCTGAAAAGGGCTGGGAAAAGTCTTTACTGAGACCCTACTGTACGTGACCTAAGATGATGTAACTACATGAGGGGAAACAATCAGGGCATTACATGAGGATGGTCTGTCGAGACATGAGGTATTGTAGGATGTCGATCTAATGAGACATCACATGATACGTTATATGAATTGATTAATTAAAAATTGTTATACAAATTTGCCCAGCCTGCAAAATCCATATAAGCCAAAAACAGTTTACTTAAATAAAAGTCCTTAATAAAGATAAACAATTTGAGAAATTTGAAGAAATTTGCTGACTAATGATACTTCAGAAATCAGAGTGAATACTAGTAAAATATTCCAACACCACCTTTTTTCTGGGCTTGTGAGACAGCAAACATAAACAGATCAAAAGTGAACTTTTTTTCTTTATACTTTTTTATTATACCTTTGTATTGCTCATTCTTCCTTTAACTACTTAGCTGTTTACATTATGTATTTAAAACATTAATGACATTTAAAACAGGACAGGTTTAACACAATTTAACACACAATGTTGGTATGGTAATCTAAGCAGCACCAGTGGAAGTACAAATCTTCAGCAGGTCCATATTCTAATATTTATGAGCTTAAACTCCTCCATGGTAACACCAAGCAATGTTTCTGGATGAGGAATGGTGATCATACCTGGCAACACAGCAGCAGCAGAGCTGTTGGTTCCTCCTGGGGAGTTGTTGACTGTGTCTTCATAGAAGATATCGGTGATGTCCTCCACAGGAGGGGTGTTGAGGTCCAACGAGGGGGAAGGGACGCCATTTTCTGCTGCTTGGTCTGTTGGACCTTGATCCCCTACCTGAAAAATGAAAATGAGAGGGTTATCTTATATATAATAGATTGCCTTTCCATCGTGAGCGCCAGTTGTTTGTTAATCCAGTTAAGGATGCAGGAAATGGAGAGAAAGTGCTAATGAGCTACCTGATGTGGCGTCACCGACAACGAGGCCTCTTCTGTGATTTGTTTCCGAACTGGCGGTGTGGTTGCTCGGGCAACTGGAAACAGGAAGCCCGGCTGTTCAGTTACCTCGCCTACCCATATTGCCCCGTTGCCATCAAAACTTGGATTAGTACGCGGCTTGTGTAACGGAACATCGCTGTCCTCGTAGATCCAGTTCTGATCCATAGCATCGGGTTCAGGGCTGGCCCGGCTCGGCTTCTTTCTTACAATCGGCTTGATTTTAGTTTTTCGTTGCAGGGTGGACTCAGAGGGATTGTCTGGGGGTGGGCGGGGGGTGACCTGCACCGGGAGGTTCTGGTACACTCGGGTCTGCTCCACTGGGATCTCCTCCACCGGGCTGTGGTCCACCGCCGGATTCTGGGTCTCTGGCGGCGCTGATTCGGCTTTAGATTGAACCTAACACAAGAAAAAACCAGCAGTGCTGAGTGTACATATGTCACAAGATTTAAAATCTAAAAACGAAATGCCTACATGGTCAGGGTCCATATATTCTGTTCTAATGCTAATGAGATCCATACCAAATAAAATAAAATAAAAATTCTTATGATAATGCTGCTTTTTTTGGTGCATTTCCAACATTAAAATTACCTCATAATAAAGTAACTTTTGGAGTAGGAGAGGACAGGCTGCAATGCTCCTCTAAGTGAAATCATGGTAGCATTACAGTCTTTTTTTAATCTCGTCCAAACATGCTAGAAAGTCTCAAATCCTCTTTTGTTCTGCTCACTTACTGAAAGACTTCGATTTGCATAATTACAATCATTTGCATAGTAATGAGGTTCAACAATATGAATGAATATAGAGTAATCTATCTAAATGATTGCCAGCGTGCAGAGCGGTGTCAGGTGACGGCCCTACCTCTCTGTTGCCTTCCAGACCTTTGGAGACAGCGTCAGAATCAGAATCACTTTCTAAAGAGAGAAAAGGAATGAAGACAAACTGAATAACAATGTAGTAAATGGGACGGCATTGTGGGAGTTTTCGTATGTTTCGTACCGGGGTCTTCTAATGGCATGTCCACTATAATCTGGTCACTCCACCGCCCTCTGAGTCCATTGGTGCAGACAGCGACCACCTGAACGACGTAGCTGCTGTTGGCCAGCAGGCCGGGGATGAAGGCACCCTGGGAAGACACACAGCTGCATGTTAACATCATTCACTATCTCAGGGTCCCTGCAGCTTAATCTAAATTGGTTTCAAGTCTTTTTGGGGACTATTTAATGACTTTATAATCACTAAAATGTAGAAAAAAAACCTTGTTGAGATTGACACACGACAACAAGCCTCGTTTGCATCACCTTATACAAAATACTGGTTCAATATAATAAAAAAAATGTCTACCTCTCCATGTTGTTCCTAGCAATCGGGCGACAATTTAAATGTTGGTGGTTTAGCTATCCTATTATTTGTGACAATAATGCAAGAGGCATTCTGTAAATCAACCAAAATGTAGACTTTACCAGCCATTTTAAGACTTTGAAATGCAATGTCAGAAAAAACCCAATATCCTTTGTCCCATTTCTTAAAATGTGTTACACTTTAATAACCTAACACCAGGTAAGACCTTATTTTAGATTTATGAATTCAATGCCTTTTAAGACTTTGTAAGGATCCACGGGTACCCTGTGTTTAAAAGAGGATGCTGCGGCAATAAGTGATCTTATGATATGATGATATTTAAGTTTGGTGTGTTATTTTCATTTTTGGTAGATTTGGTCCAATTTGCATACAACTCCAGCTTGAAGAGGCAGTACTCGACATTTCGAAGCTGCAGCACTTGGATAATTATCTGTCTCTATTCTCGCTGCCTAATTAGTGCATGCACTCTCAATCGCAGCGGGTGGTGTTTCACTTGCCTTTTGTCAGTGGGGGGTTAGTGTTAGTTTATCATGCTGGTTGTTTCTTGGTTAGTGAGCAGGTGTGTTTGCCTCCAAAGTGTGGTATACAGTATGGAGGTTATTTTTTTAATAAATAATTTCAATTTCTTTGTTTGTTTGAAATTACCCTTCAAAAATACTTGCTGATCCCAGGTTTGAATATCTCTGCATTACAAATCCTATAATAGTAAATGTAATAATAGTAAATGTAATAATAGTTTCCTATCAGTAATAATAGTTTGTTTGTTTCCTATCAGACTCCAAATATTGCCATTATTTATTCTCTTAATTATTTTTTTAGAGTTGCACACATCATAATAACTAAGTGTGTAAAGGCCTCATGACTGACTCATACATTTTCGAACAGAATGCATCTCTATTGACAGTATTTGATTTATAATTTAGTTTTAACTGCATTATAAAAGTGTGCACACTTTAAAATAATGATTGATGCCTCTCATGAGGTTTTCATGCACATATCAGGCATGCTGACTAATGGGGTTACTTTTTTCAGTTATTTATCTGTGTTGTATGAGGATGAATATTGACGACTAGGTCCACTAACTCGCAGACACACACACACACACACACACACACACACACACACACACACACACACACACACACACACACACACACACACACACACACACATACACACACACACACACACACACACACACACACACACACACACACACAGACCCACACACACACGGTCACATTGAGGGATGCTTAGTGACCTGCTAAGCACGAAGAATTGATCGTTGCTATGAATCAATTGAACCAGATCCCAACAGCAGTCACAATATGAGAGTGGATGGTTGAGAAGAATATAATAAATTACGTTTGAATATTTACTGCAGCAGAATAGGGACTGAATTGATTATGTAGACATGGATTGTACCATTCCAGTGTGGACTGTAGATAATAATTGTTAAATGACAGTCAAAGGTGAGTGTAGCAAGCTTCTATCAGCTCAAGGTTAGTTTTAAGGAGACGTTTTAACACCACTGGGATGACATTTAAACACACTTGATCACCAAAGGAAAACCACATGAGGAAAATGTAATTACTGTGAGTTTAAAATACAACTTGTAAACATCATGAACATCGCCAGATATAAAATCATGTTTGAAAGGCAATTATTATGAATTTGCTATATCTCATGTCTTTGTAAGTGAGAAAACAGTCTGCTATGAGCATCCAGGCCACAAACTAAAAGTGAGTCTTGTTGCTTCTGCTTTGCTGATCTGTGTGACATTAATGTGAGAGGCATTCTGAAACTCATCTAAAATGTAGACGTTAACAATTATTTTGAGACTTTAAATCAGAAATAAAGTAAATTCATAAAATCCTCGTTCCCTTTTCTAAGCATTTTTAAGACTTTTGAGAGGTTGATTTAGAACATTTGAATACCAATTAAGGCCTTATTTTACAATCAAATGCGTTTTAAGGATCTACGTGAAGCCTGTGCTAATATACATGTTGGTACTATATTTATATAATACTGTGAAAAGTATCAAAAGTACTTTTACTTTTGATGTACATTTTGCTGATAATATTTCAGTTTTTCTAATGCTACCAGTAACATTTCATTACTTTTAATTGGTTTTATAAGAATCTAAGTAATTTTAAGTGAGTATATTCAAATTCTGTGTCTTAACATCATGTAAAAAAGTTGCACTTTTCCAGGTAGTTGAAATAGATAGCGGACCATTTACATGCACTAGTGCAGTGGTTCTCAAAGTGGGGGGCGCGCCCCCCCTGGGGGGCGCAGAGGCATGCCAGGGGGGGCGCGAGAGACCAGGAGGAAAAATGGTTATTAAAAAAAAAAGATTAAAAAAAAAAAAAAAATTCATAAATTGAAAAATTATTTATTCGAAAATAATATGATGCAGTACTATTACGTCTGGGTCTCTGTGTTTCATTAAAGCTTGGCTCTGTGTGTGTGTGAAACGAGCCATTTTGTGTGCGCGAGAGAGAGCGCACCGGTACCGGAGATCGTTGTTGTTAGCTTCTGGTGCTAGCGAGCTACGCTAACGGATATAAGGAGTTTTTTCAACAACAAAGTGGAGGAGAGCTCTCCTGTCAGACTGAGAGACTCAGTGAACTAAAGGACTCTCTCAGTGTTATCTCAGTGGGTCTCAAACGTTTTGGTCACGATTAATGTAAACAATTATTTCCGAGGCACACGTTTATATGATCATTATAGTTATAAAAAAGTAAGAGAATAAATGAAAAACACGTATGAAATACTATATGGCAGTAAAACAAGAATAAAGTTTAAAAGGGTGATTTGTAAAATATCCATAAAGAAAAAAGTAAATCTGCTTACAGGTCTGTTTCATAGGTGTTGAGAGAGGTATCCATAGATCTCTTCATTTTGCTCTCAAAGTGCACCAGATGCTTTTAACTTCAATATTTAAAAATAAATCTTCAAGGGGGTCCACACACCACCTATAAAAATAGAACTTTACCCCTGCTTACACCTATATGCCGTGAGCTGATTATTGAGCCTTCATTGTAACTGTCACACTGTGTATATGCGTGTGGATTGTTGCAGTAGAAAATTCCTGAAAATACTGTAGCGACCGGTAAATTAATGGGAAACCCTAAATGTTTGAGCACCCTCTATGAAACGTCAAGCTACCCCACAGCACCCCCAAAACAAATCTCTGGCGCCGCCACTGAGCCTGACTTGTGTTGGGGGGGCCCGACTTTTTTTTTTCTCCAAAGGGGGGGCCTGACAGAAAAAGTTTGAGAACCACTGCACTAGTGTGTGCTGCTTGTTAGGGGGTGTTTTGTGTTTAGTACCACGTCCTGATCCCCGTCCGTCCTGTACTCCTGCCTGCTCTGCTCGCGGCCCTGGAGCCTCTGGTAGGTGACGGTGTACCAGTCGATGGTGGTGTCGTAGACCACGCGGGGACGCTCCCACATCACCACGATGGTTGTGTCGTTCTGGGCATCGGCCTGAACGTTTTCCGGCTCCGAGCTGCAGGCTGGAAATGGCAGAAAGACAGAAAGAGGGGAAAAATAAATGAATATTGATTAGTGTGGATGTGATGCAGGAAATTCAATAGAAATCCTGAACGAAAAAGGTGGACACTTAATAGCAGTACATTGACGCTGCATGTAATTTAATAAAAAAATTGACCGTATCACAAATGGAAGAAATAAGGATGCGTTTTTAAAAGCCCAGCTCAACAGGGGAGTGTGAACTGAGTGGGAGGTGTGTCCATGTGTGTGCAGGGGTGCATAATATGTTACAGCTGAAGAAGACCCTTCTCTGAATTTCTCAATACTTTCAAAAGGAGCTGCAAGATAAATTGGCTGCGCTGAGAGGTGCAGGAGAACAGAATAACAAAGAGAAGCTCCCTGGCAACCCAAAAGACATGGAGAGCGTTGTGAATTTTATCTTTTGATTATCATGACTCGGCTGAACTTGGAGGAAAGTGTTACAGCTAAGGAGAAAGCACAAGATTGGCAATATTTTCACTCAAAAAAATAACATTAATAATGTAATATTCATATTTGTGCCTGAGGGGGATTCATTTCCCCCTTGACGACCAAAATGTGGTTTAAATGTGATGGGTTGAAATATTTAGAGCTTTGGAGAATAGGAGATTATGGGTTGAGCTCATTAAAGCCAGACAAGAAAGAATTTCTTATGGTAGAAAATCTTAAAATGCTGTTTCTGCTGGGAATGAATAATGTTGATGATTCAGATTTGAACTGAAACTCACTGATGGACATGACTACTCAGCTAAAAGACTAAAAAGTCAAGTCTAAGGGGAATGAATACGGAGAAAATGTATTCTGTTCAGTGTTATCTAGTCCATGAAGGTGAACCCAAAATGGTAATCGGGAAAAAAAAGAGTGTAAATGATAAACTAGTAACCAGACATGTGACAGACATGTAGCATTGCTCATAAACCAAACAGCAGGTAAGATGCCTGCTTTAGTGGCCTCCTTTAATGATAACATTGGGTGATAATGGCAATGGCAGTTTTCCATTGAATTTTAGATAACCCGTTAGATACACCCGTTTATGATACTTAGAAATGTTTTCCAACAGGATATTCTTCACATATGTATTTACAATATGACATTAAAACCTTTGAATCTTGACATATTAACACAATGTTTATGATTTTTGAAGCGTATATTCAATCGCCAGACATAAAAAGCTATCATTAGGCTATAAAGGAACTACAACACGGTCACATGACTTCACGTCACCATGGCTAAGCTAAAGGCGGAACACTTTTGGTGAGATGACGTTTAGGCGTCTCAATTAGTCACTTGTTAGCAACCTTCGTTTTTAAAACACATAGAAGCTTCAGAAATTCACTAGTAGGTTTTTACTGATATATTTTAAGTCTTAAAACAAATGTGAAAGACTTAATTTCAGGATTCTAACAAAAAACACACGAGGAATCCTGTAGTGGTAAAATGCTAACTCAATCCGGGTTTGAGAAAGTGTCTTAAACCTGCATTCTTACTTCACTTGACTACAGTTGTCAAATAAATATAGTGCAGTGTGTAAACATGAAAGCAAATTGGAAATGAGGAAAGGTGAACTGTGAATTTAAATGGAGGAAGGCGGAACAAACAAGCAGAAAACTTTAAGCTAAGGGTGTTTGGTGACGTACTGGGTGTGAGCACGTCCTCCACGCCGGTGTACGAGGCGAACACTTGACCCATGAACTGCTGCTGCTCCCGGAAGTTGTTCTGCAGGTAATCTGTCAGGATCACATATCCAGCCTGCTCCATGGTCATCACGTCACAAAACACCTCCAGCTGCACACGGACGGAGAGAGACAGAGATTATTACATGCAGATGACCACATAAACCTAAAACCAGACAGACAGCTGCTCTATTTTTAGGAACATGTCATGGCTGGCAGACCCAGTTTTTAAATCATGCAAACATAAATATGCTCTAAGAATATTCACTTCCATGACCTCATTCACTCGCCATTAATCTGCTATATTATTGATGAATATTACACAGAGGATTTCGTTCAAAGTGGCCGTTCCTCTACAGAGCTTAAAAGCCTTCATCACGGAATCAAGCTACAGTAATGCTATGAATGGACTCGGGGACAGGGTTTCATCCCACAGGATATAAGCTTTGTGAAGTGTCACCATTCATATTTAGTATGTCCATAAAACACTGTGTGTGTGTTTGTAGCCTTTATATCCAAACATTATATTTATTTTTACAGCATTTATTCTACGCTGTACTTTAATTTGAACTTTTTCTTATTCCTGCAACTTACTTGAGCCATTTTGTCTTTTGCACTATTTTACTGCATTATTTTATGTCTTTTACTTACATGTGAAGTATATTATGTGTTAGTATATAGATAGACAGAAGGAGCGTGAAACTTAAGATTTGCATTGTTAAAACTGCATAATACAAATAAAGCCTTTGGCTCAACACGTCATGAAATGGGAAATAATTAGCTTTAATGAAGAGTGGGATTAAAGGAACAATAAATATGCTTGCCATGTTGTGTTTTTGGTGGTATTTGGTTGTCAACCTATTTTTGTTTGTGAAATGTTGAAGTGATCCTACTGTATCTGTATTTATTCTGTTTTTTTTGTTTTTGTCTGAGATGGGAATGTCCTCTCCTGTGTGTTATTGTTATGTCCATGTTAGTGTCTTTAGCCTGTACAACAAATTAAAAAACATTCAAAATAATAAATACAAATAAAGCCTTTGAATCTTTGAATTCTTTGTTACCAGACATGTCACCGCAGAAATACTTTTTGTACGTTACATTTTGTGCACAGCTATCAAAATGATGACCTAACAGAAGACCTTTTTATACTGAACACAAAAAACATTATAGAGAGGCGAAGTCCCGCCCATCTACTTCCGACCCATGGGACCTTATTTCGGAAAAATTATGTATTGAAGTCAATGGGGAGAGAAAACGTATCTTTCGATCCCGTTTGAATTGTGCCACGAATCATTTCCATGTCAAAAAAGTCACAGTTTGTCGTAAAACTGTTGAACTATAAGACTATGAAAAATACGCAACTAGAAAGACTACAAATCCCAGAATCCCGGTCCTGCATGCTGGCTCTTACGGAACCGACTAACTCTCCTTGTGTGTATGTACAGCTCTCAACATGCCCAGAACTTGTAGTGATTTTCACCTCTTTTAATACTTTCTGCCTCATTCTGAAAGAAAGAAGTGAAATGTGTCAACGTGACGGCCGTCTTGGTGTGTGGTGCGAGACGGGAGATGTAGTTCATTGAACGGTTTCACACAAAATGTCTTACTTCACAGTTTTACGACACTTTTTCTTTTTTTTTTTACTTGCAAAATTATCTTTTCAATTGACAAACATCATATGTGTAATTCGTGGCACAATTCAAACGGAATCGAAAGATAATCTTTCTCTCTCCATTGACTTAATAATTTTTCCTAAATAAGGTCCCATGGAGCCCCCCCGGAAAGGGAGGGACTTCGCCTCTATAGATGTATTATGATCTTTACATAACCAAAAACAAACACACAAACCCACTGACCTGTGTTTCTGATATGGCCACAGGCTGTTTGAAGAGGATCCATTCCACTGTTTCCGAGCATGGCGGTGCCGTTAGTGAACCGTTGTAGATGTAATATTTATCCGTGTTATTAGGCAGCAAGGAGCGCAGGGTGAAGGCTTCAATCGAGCCGCTCTTACCTGTTGAAAAACAAAGTCCCATTAGTAACAAAATGTCACAACAAATATCAAATGTTTTATCCCAAGCTGTAAGACCACATGGGACTGGGCCTTTACAAATGTCAGACTGTAGGTCAAGTCTACCTATGTATCTTGGTATTCATTGACGCAGGTCTGTGACCTTTTATAGTTTTATAATTTAGCAGAGAAAAAAATAATGTTTTGTGAAATGATGCCACTAATATCAACCTCTCATGTTGGCTGATAAACTGACTTTAAGCCCACTAACGCGTTATTCTTTTCCTTTATTAGATGTTTTTCCCATGATAGTTGGTAACATTTTCCATTATTCTGTTTCTTTCGCTATTGATTAAAACCAGTATTCTTCTAAAAACTGACAGGACCGCCACCTACTCTTATTTTAGAGGGTAGGACATATATACTGTATGTGTACCCAAGTTGTGACCACTGTACTGTATGTGAAGGAGACCTACCAAACCTGCTGACAGTGTTGACGGCCTCGATAACAGGACTGAACTTCTCGTTGTCATCCAAGCTGATCTGTGGAAAACAACACGAGTAAATTATGAACCTTTAAAGGAAGCAGTGGGGATTCTTGTCTTTTAATATTCTGCATTCCAAAAGCATGTAGATCTCGCTATTGGTGAACAACAATCCTAACCCCCAAAGTCAAAGTTGTCAAGCATTATTGTGTAATTTGTCGAAAGAAAATCACACATAACAATAAGAGTTATACATGTTTTTGGTGCAAAATATATTTTTGTAAAAAGCAAGTTACGAGAAATAAAGCCAGCCACCTACTAATTTGTTTAATTAATTTGTGTTTTTACATAGTTGCAATCAGTTAATATACATTTTTCAAATATAAAAACTCTATAATATTATACACAATTAACTCAGATTGTTGTTTCATTTGCCAAATCATCTTTACTAACACACGGGGGAAATTATCTCCTCTATGAATTCAGATTCACTTTTGAATTGTGACATCCACTAATCCCCCCTTAAACTTGAATTTCATCACTTAACAGTTTGTTTTTGATGAGAAGTACAAACTGATCTCTAAATCTGGCTGTGAACCTACTTCAAAGAGCACGGCCAGCGCAGCCATCCTGCCTCCTTTCCCCACAGCATCCTCCAGACTGAGGAAGGCTGGATCGTAGCAGTAGATCTGCATCTGAAGGAGAGCAGAAAACAGACAGGTAAGCTGCCTTTCATTGGTAGACACAAATATAACAGATACATGTGTTGATGCTGTGTGTTTGTTTACCTCCAGAGGATATTTCATCCCGTTCAGGCTGTGTTCAGACCCATCTGAGGATGCATTGCAGCGCCCCCAGTGGAAGCTGATTGTACCGACTCGGAACCTGGAGCTCAGCCCGCCTCCGCTCACAAAGAAGTCCCCTTCCACACTGATGGACACTGAAAAACACCAACAAATCATGGGCTTTGCTGGATTGACTGGACGTTCAGTCTCCAATACTCAGCTGTGGTGGAAACTGCTTGGCCACAGGGCTAAGAGCTTTAGTAAGTAAGTTAAAGTATGTAAGAAAGTAAGTAGGTAATTAGGTGAGTAATTAGGTGGGTAAGTAAGTAAGAATGCAAGTAAGCAAGTTAGCAAGTAAGTCATGAAGTGGATATCCTGGTCTGTTAACACCATGTGTTATCTCAGTGACAATTAACATAAACAATACTTCAACCTGCATTTAATGATTTTTAATACCTAAATATTGACATGGCCAGACCACATTAAGTCCCTTTATTATCACGTTATTGTCGCCTTGTCACACATCCAGCAGCTACAGAGCAACATTAGCATTTATTGAGAGTCATGTTAGTGTGACGGATGTGAGTCTGTTTGGTCTGCACCAACTCCTTAGGGAAATATCTGCATCTAGCTGCTAAATTAGTCAGTCTGCCATTCGTTGCTGGGCAGGTCGAATATAGAGGGCTTTTAGATTTAGTTATTTTCGGTTGAATACAGCGATCTGTGTGAGCCAAAGAACTGAGATGAGGAAGTGAACCAAAACCATAATTTCACAGTCCACAACCCAAAAAATCTAATTACAATTGAATTTTTAATTGTGATATGATCCTTCTCATATAAAAGTTATCTTTGTCCTATTGGAGCCACATCTGTATCGCTAATGAGTCACTTTAAATTGTTCTAATGCTCAAAGGCATGATGTAAATATAGCTATATATTTCTCTCTACTTGCAGTGACAGCTATGCAATATCTGTCTCTGTTCATGCAATTTCCTCTCCGACTTCACAGAGAAAAAAGAGCAAGGATGATGAATGTATGGAGCACACACACACACACGGGCTGTATTCAAAAGATGGAGCTGATAGCTGAGACAGCTTCTATTTGTTCATCAGGCCAGACATCACTTCTCACGGCGCCTCTCCTCGCCTCTATATCGTTTTTTTCCCTCTTGCTCTTTTGTTGCCGCTCGTCTGCAGCTCAGTTTAATCTGTGCTTTTAACATCGATCTTCCTTCTTTCTCCATGTTGGTACTGCTGTCCCTCTGGTCGTCTCTCAGGTCTCCTGTTAGCTCTCATTGTCTACCTCTTTCTCGGCTTCTTCTCTTAATAACCTCTGAGTTGTGCATCTTTTTGATCTTTGTCTGGAAAGCTTAAGGGGTTTACAGCACCAGAACACGTCAGAATTACTGAATCCATACTAACTGTATCTTCCCCCTCTTTAATGTGGTTGTGTCCTTACTGCGTTGTTTTCATCTTTCAATAACATCAAATGAGATTAGATAGGGCTTTATTAATCTGCGTAGGGAGACTAATCCCCATAGGGATATTCAATATAATATTGTGTTTGGATTTTCTGCAGGGACATGGCTTTCAAAGCTTGAACTGGACCAAAAAAGGCTTTTGATTTTACCTCAATTATGCTAGGAATTTCTATAAGAAGATTTGTCTTTTAAAGAAGAAAGGAGAGGAACATCAGCGTACCAGTCTTCCCGTTGTTGTGGACGGTGCTGGACCCCGCCGTCAGCGCGTCCCACCCGTCCAGCTGCAGATTCTGGTACTGCACACGGACCTGGGTAAAGGTCTCGTCGATGTCCACAGGAGACTGCCTGGCGCTTCTACAAGACGGGTACTTCTTACCCCAGTTGCGCTGATTCAGGGCACCTGTGTAATGAGACAGGGGGAGGCATGTTCAAAGACTCTTAAAGCTGTTTCATCTGCTGTCAACAGAAACGGTGTTTGAGCAGGAGGATCAGCCGTCCTCCAAATGTGAAATTCGAATGCACTCATGATTTATGGATGACCAAATGCTCCATTCATTGAGCACCTTTAATGTACCTGTGCAATACGTTTACAAATGAGCACAGCTTTAACGAGACGTGATACATGCTCCCAGGTCAGACGTTACACTGAGTGTGTGTGAGCGCATGTCTCGTATTCTGTGTTGTTTGTGAATTGTTCTTTCGGAGGGGAAGAGCACACAGCGTGAATTATGCTTCCCCTAACCAGGCTGTGCTTCACATGAATAATGTAAAAGAATATGAACATTATGAGGACAAGCACAACCTCCAGACAAACACACAACACAAACATGGCAAAAAACAATCAAAATAGGTAGATAGAAAAGCAAAAGCTGTGTTTTTCCTTCAGTGCAATACATTCATATACTGTAGCACAAATGCTCTGCTTAACATCTCGAGCTCCGCCTCAAACGGCTCTGCATTGTTTATTCATGAATGCATGTCTGAATCTACAACTGCTGATTAAATTTAAGGATATGCAGGGTCTCTGTGTGTGTGAGTGAATGTATTCATGGAGGTACTGCATGTTACACTATCGCATTTACATGTACTCACAGTGTGTGTGTGTGTGTGTGTGTGTGTGTGTGTGTGTGTGTGTGTGTGTGTGTGTGTGTGTGTGTGTGTGTGTTTTTTGTGTGTGGTCCACAATATACAGTAAAGACAATGGATCCAATGAGGTCAGAGCAGATGGTTTAACTGCAACTGGTCACACATGACTTAACAGGTAATAGCTTTAAATTCCTTCTCTGTGTGTGTGTGTGTGTGTGTGTGTGTGTGTGTGTGTGTGTGTGTGTGTGTGTGTGTGTGTGTGTGTGTGTGTGTGTGTGTGTGTACACATGTGGATGCTTAAAAAAAATGAAAATAACATTTAAAATCTCTGAGTTCTACTTGCAGTTTCACAGTATTCCCATGACACTGCCTGCCTTTGATCATTGGAGACCTTTAAAGCAGTCTGCAATTCTGAAGTAAAATGATGTCATTATAAAAACCTTTTCTGTCCTTGATTTTGTTCCTGCCCTCTCTCGGAATTCCTTCTTTCTTATTTTTAAACAGACACAAACAGAATGAAATCCTCTTTAATCTTACATGTACACAGCAGCGCACAAACACAATGTTATTTAGTCTCTGCATTTAACATTTATGCATTTAGCACTTTTATACTAATAAAGGACTGGATTACCTAAAGCCAGTTGAGTAGCACTTGAAATGTTTGGCTCTATGAAACCTGATATACTTATATGATTCTGTTTTCTTCAAGGTTGTGTCTTCCTGGTCGAATGTACTTATTGTAAGTCGCTTTGGATAAAAGCGTCAGCTAAATGCAATGTAATGTAATGTAATGTAATGTAATGTAACATCATAGTATCAGGAGCAGTGGGCAGCAAAAGGCAAACATTCACTTAAAGTGGACCTATTCTGCTGTTTGGGGTTTTCCCTTTCCTGTAGTGTAATATAGGTTTAAGTGCATGTAAAGAGTCTGCAAAGGCTAAAATCCTGAAGTTCACAACCCCCCCCCCCCCCTGAAGAGACAGTGCAAAAGGTGGGGAAGAAAGGAGGAGGACTGTAAATGACGTCGTAACAAAGTTGCCTTAATTAAAAAGAATAACACAATTAATGTCATAGTTCAATTAGATAAATAAATACTTTATTTCATGTTATTCTATAATCGTTAAATATGGCATGATTTAATACAGTTTGTTTTATGTGTTTCTTGTGCGTAGGAACTAATGTTTGTTCATGTGCTGGTACTGCGTGTTTTGTTGTTACACTGTACAACTCAACGTGGGTTGACGTTGTCAGTACCAGATATGTTCGGGCTAAGCTCTGCTGAAGTCTGTGACAAAGTTTTAATGTGACAAGAAGTCTGTGACAAAGTTATACAGAAAAGGAACTAGATTAATCTCCTTTCACGACAAGCGGCCAACGAGGTATTTGTTTTACGTTTTCATTTTCTTATTTTCATTCATATGTGTAGCACAATATGCTAGTATGTTAGTTTGGCTATGCATACGTGTCATTTCGGTGTTGTAGTTCTCACGGCGTAACGGAAGAGGGGAGGCTACAGGATGAAAACTCCAAGAAATAAACGCCCGTTTTAAAGAACCGACCTGTGTCTGTGTCGTGAAGAGAGCTACAAGGACAAAGAAGACATGTGTGTGCAATGATATAGAGAAGACACACACAGACTGACATAGAGGAGTCAGACGGAGGCTGACAAGATCTCAGCTTCTAAATGAATCTATTATGAATGGCACACACACACACATACACACACACACACACACACACACACACACACAGATCGACTATGTAAATGATGGAGTGCCAGACACCTCAACATCGAGTGTATCTGACAGCAGCCCTGTCAGATTATTGAGGAAAGAAGAGTCCCGTATGCTCTTGATCAGATCTCTGACGCTCCGTCTAGACGTGAGAACATGAAAATGTCTCTGCAGTCAGAGGCTGCAAGTTAAATATTTAACAACGCTCGCTCCCTCAACTGATTTACTGGGAATCTCAACGTACTGTACACAGGGAAGGTTAACTAGATCATAAAACAGCACAGAAAGCACCCTAGTCTTCCCAATCCCCTATGCTGAAGTTGCAAAAACACCACGATTTTATGATCCAATTCTATCAGTTTCCCAGTTACACAGGGACGCGGGAAGTCAGTCAGAGTTGGGGGTGCGTGCAGCGTTTCGCAGCGGAGCCATGTAACTGTGGTGCGGAGGGAGGGGGGGGGGGGGGGGGGGGGGGGGGCTGCGAGTGGAGCCTCGCAGTTTTTCAGGTTGATAATGTGAAGCTCATTAGCTAGCCAACATGTATCTAGCAAATGTTTAGCAAGGCAAGGCAAGGCAAGTTTATTTATATAGCACTTTTCAACACAAGGCAATTCAAAGTGTTTTACAAAAAATGAAAGAGATTAAGAAAATGGCATTTAAAATCAGTCATTAAAAAGAAAAGCTAATAAAAGAAACATTAAAAGAAAAAATACATGGATAAAAGTTACAGTGCAGTCTAAGATATGAATAGTTCAATTAAAAGCAGCGACAAAAAAAAAAAAAAAATTAGAAGTGAGGCTACTAGACTAACGTTAGGTCTACTGTAATAGCCTCACTTTTAATAGTTTGCAAAACATTAGCTAGCACTAGTGTTTTGTAGTTGCTAGCAGCTTATTGGGATTTTATGCTAGATAGACAGATATAATAAATTAAGCATTATTGTTAGTTAAGCATGTCAGCCTGCAGCCCCACTTCTTGTCTCTCTCTCTAACTCATTGCAGATGACTACACTAAAGAAAAGGGCACAGAGAGGAAACCAGTTGTAAGATGTTTAAAAGTTCATTAAACATAATATATGCTTAAATGCATTTCAAAGAAGTTGTGTTGAGTTGTGTTGGAGTTTGTGTTATTCTACATTTTGACACAAAGATTTTCTGATTTTACTGCAAATGTATATCGGTTCCAAACAGCGGTTATCGGTCTCCTTGATTACTAATAATCAGTATCGGTCGATCCCTAATATAAATGTATGATTTATATTATTCATAAATCCATACATTTATATTATTGGATAGGCTACTCCAAGTGGAAAAATGAGAGACTGAACTCCTTAACCCTGCAATACTGGTGGAGAACAGGAACAGCGAAAGAAAAGCAGTGGTGAAGGAAAAATCCATTACATAAGTAAGAATACTCATACCACACTGTAAAAATACTCTGCTACAAATAAAAAGTATATATTAAAGATGTTACCTTGAGGAAAATTAGCTTAGTATGGTCAGCAAAATGTGTGTAAAATATTGAACAAAAAAGTACGCAAAAAATCTAAAATACATAAAAATAAATATAGAAATTATTCAAAAATAAATTAGACAACTACCTCAATGTTTTTTAAATGCCAATAAATTATCTCTATCTAAGTTCAATTGTTTCCATACAATTGTAGTAGAGTACAAGTACCTGATCATTGTACTTATAGGTAAAATGCTTGGGTAAATGTTCTTACTTACATTACACCCGTAGAAAAGCAAAGAACACACACACACACACACACACACACACACACACACACACACACACACACACACACACACACACACACACACACACACACACACACACACACACACACACACACACGCAACTCTGCTTCACTACCTCATGTCCCCCACCAGGCTCCAGCAGCAGAGCAACAACTGGAGCAGAAGAGAAGCCAGCCTCAAGTATTTGGTGACTAACGGAGCTGTATAGAACATAGTGCATAGTGTTGAACACATGCGTGTGCCGAGTGAAAGAGACAACACGAGATGGAGTCAAGGCTTCAGAGCTTACTTTATGTGAACCAGTCTTTACAGCAGGGGACACTACAGCTCTCTTGTTATTATTGTGATAATTAAAACCACAAATACAGGGTGACATTGAATTGCAGAGGCTAAGGCAAAGTTGAAGTCAATGATGGACACACCTGCATTTATTGTTGGTCTGGGAACAACGTTATTAGTTTTCCTGCAGAATTTAAAATGTTGGTTACAGTTACAATTAATGTTTAATACCAGCCACGTTTACAAAGTAGGAAGAATGTCAACCGGTCACACTGTCACACTGATTTGAAATTCCAGTGCTGTATGTGTGCGGTTGTATGTGTGTGTGTGTGTGTGTGTGTGTGTGTGTGTGTGTGTGTGTGTGTGTGTGTGTGTGTGTGTGTGTGTGTGTGTGTGTGTGTGTGTGTGTGTGCGTGTGTGTGTGTGGCCTAGCATTACTATACTTGTGGGGACCTAAATCTGTTTACACAGTCACGTGTGGGGACTCGCCTCCCTTATGGGGACAAATTGGAGGTCCCCATGAGAGGAATCATTCATTTTAGGGTGAAGACTTGGTTAGGTTTAGGGTAAGGGTTAGGGTTAGGCATGTGTTGGTTATGGTTAAGGTTAGGATAAGTCTCCAGGAAATGCATGTAAGTCAATGTAATGTCCCCTGAAGTGATGTATACATGGTATGTGTGTGTGTGTGGGTGTGTGTGTGTATTCCCCAGACAAAGCACCAGAGGAGTATTGAAGCCTGCATTGCCCCTGGGTAAAACTTATTTGGATGGAGAAGAGAGAATAGACAGAAATTTAGAGAGGAGAGTTGACAAAGAGGAGAGGAGAGTGTGCTGTTGCCAGGATTTGCCTACATTTATGTAGTGATAGTAGTAGTTGTGAGTTGTAAAGGGGAAACTCACACACACATATAACAGATGGGCCCTGGGGGGGTCTGCCAGGCAGAAGGATCCCTGGGACCCCTTGGAGACAAAGCAGAGAGGAATGACAAGTATGGAGGAGGAGGAGGAGGAGGAGGAGGAGGAGGAGGAGGAGGAGGAGGAGGAGGAGGAGGAGGAGGAGGAGGAGGAGGAGGAGGAGGAGGAGGAGGAGGAGGAGGAGGAGGACAAACTTGGGTACCTGCAAGTTTAATGTTAATACTATTTTTTTTTTTAAAGGTTTGCAGCTACCAAGATTTTAATAAAAAATAAAGAAAACAGGGTAGCAGTGGCCTTATTGCTAAATGTATTAAATGAAAAAATATATTAGGAGAGAAAAGTGCGATTAAGATCAAGATGAATTCATCCCAGAGGGGAAATTACATGTGTCTCTGGTGTTGGTTCTAGTTTACACACACATGCATAGACACTGACAGACCTATACACGTGCACTAATGAAGAGGCAGAGCGAAAGGGCTGCCAGTGTTCCGGCGCTGTTTTAGGTGAAATCACTGAATAATGTTAAAGGGGTCACCGAGGGTTTCCACCAAACTGCAGTTCCCCTCAGCTCTACAGAGAGCTTCAGTGTCTTTCAGTGAATGTTTTGGTTATCACTTGAGGAAGTGGGTCGATTGTTTAATTCAGAGAAGGTGTAGTTTAATACCTCTTTAGCCACTATCACCAATGTCTATGCGCAATAGCACAGTTGCTGCTCAGCGCCGCCCAATAGGATTTTGATTGGTTCACACAAGTTGACTTTATCTCCTATATCATGCAAGTTGGCGATGTAACTGAACAGTAATGCTAAAACACAGAACTGATTATTGTGGACCAAACAGAACTGGTAAGTCCCCATTAAGCGAGAAACATACAGCATATATGTTACTGTGTTTTAGTTACTCGGAAATATATACTTTTTGGTATAAATGAAGATAACAAAGATGATTTGTTTCTCGTACGCTTTGAAAAGGTGTATTGTGATTTAGATGAAGCTGTCCTCGTTCGCTTCTCTCTTCCTGTCCTCACAATCTCTCCCTCTCATGTGCCCCTCTCTCTTCTTTTTCACTTCGCCCCCTCCACTTCTGACCCAAGTAAAAAGCTGTGCACAGTGCCTCACAATGAAGTGTGTTTCTTTCACATGTTAATGCTTTTACTCACGACCCAGCGCACAGCACAAGGCAAGAAACAAAGCTGTCCAGAAAAACAAGATGGTGCGCACACACACACACACACACACACACACACCCAAAAAAAACGATTACACTGTCGAACAGGGTGTATGTGCCCTGGAATTGATTGTAAAGATTTGACAGGAAAAGAAAACAATCTCCAAGATGAAAAAACATGTGCATCAATTCATATTCATGCTACTCTGACAAATATCAGCATAACATAAACCAAAAAGCAGGGCTGTTCTCTTTCAATGTCTTGATCTATTTAACCTTGTTTTGTATTCAACTCATTATCGTTTCTCTGAGATACAGATAAAGTATTTATTTTTGCTATTGGTAAAATATGTATGATGACTATTCTTCTACCATTAAAGCTTTATCGTCTCAGTGCACATTAACCTGACATCCATATACATGTAGCCAGCTCTGCAGTCACTGGCCTGTGTTATGGTTTGCTATGTTTTTTATAAAGAGGTATGCAAAGGCATGATTCATAAAAGTGCACATTGAAGTTCACCCTTATATCACTGGATCTGCAACTCATACGAGTGTGTAGGGCTCCAGCTACCCATGCTAAGCAATGTCCCTCAAATCATAAACACTGACAAATCAGTTACTAGTACAAGTAGTTGCATCACAAATCAAATGTGCAGTCATTTTATTGAATGTTCAAGCTATTTGGTCAATACATGGTTTAAAAAATGTCTTATTAGAATGTGTTTTTGCTGTTTTGCCTGCCTCAGACAGTGTTATTAGCTTCATAACGCTATAATTATCACCAGCACTCCCACTGGGGTGCAGGTTCATACGTTCAGAAGCATGCATTTAGCACACTGATGACCTTGTGTCTGATCATTCCTCCATTATAAGCTTATCTGTCCCTCGGGGGCCCTTTACGGACTGTCTGCGTCCACTCTTTGTTTCTGGTGGAGCACAGCTTAGCGCAGCAGGGGCTTCATGCTGACTTAGCTGGTGCCATCCCACCATATGGAGGGAGGCAGATCAAGGCTGTCTCTCAGGACATGTTCACAGACAATTCCTTCAATTCATGTCATGTTCACACTGACATTCTGTTTTAGGATGTGTCTGTGTGATTTCTAAAGGTAAGCAGAGGGCCACTCCATCTAAGGGGTTTCCAACCTAAACCTGGTGACAGTGATGCGTTTTGATATTACAATTTTATTTCACCAATTTGTTTGTTTTTGAAGATTGTTTTTGGGATGTATTGATTGACACGACTGCCCCTTTATTAGCATTTTGTTATCTATTATTCATGTAGAGTAACTGCTATGGGGGGAAATAAATACATCTTACACCTTTGATCTGATTGGCTGATTCAAACTGTTGGTCACTAAGTACCCTTAAGATGACTTAAATACCATGATGCTAACACCCCCTATACCAGTTCTAACTTATAGTATAATTTGAATTATTAGTATTGCGTTTTTTTATTTAAAATGTATTCTTTTACACACTACAAGGGCATGATACCAACTTTCACAAATACTTATCTACACAGTCTTTCTGCATATCTTTCTGTAATATATTTCATCATTGCAAAAGAAAATGTGCTCACACACCTGAGTACGACCAGTCGATATGTTCGGGGAGTTTCCTCGGGCCTCGGACCAGCGGCTCTGCTGTCACCACTACAGGACGAAGAAGGATAAGGTTATTAGTCGTTTTGGAAAACACACAGAAATACATTGATGGTTAGGTGAAACCACAAATGGCTGCTGTGAATTGGCTTTATGATGAGTGACAGGCTTTAACTGTCATTTCATCACTACCCAGCCTGTCTGCGTGAAGAGTTACAGAGTTCACCCTACGCGTATTCTTTGATTTCACGTGGAAATCTGTATAATATGGAGCAACATTTTATTATTTCGCATTTAAAGTATAAACAGCAACATTTGCAGACTGCTGCACAAATGGTGACTTTATTCCCTCCACAGCCACAGCACAGAGCACAGAAGATGTTCAGAGAAAATGATTTGTGTGCAGCACAGGCTTCTGAGAGGCAGCCAAAACAGAACACTTGGTCTCGCTATTAGACACACACACACACACACACACACACAGCTATATACAGTACTTCACGGTAGTCATTATCGCTCAGGGACAGTCGAGGACACAATGATGTCTGAAGTCACAGTTCAGTGTGTGTATCGTCCTGATTCTCGACTATAGCTGCACATTCACTCACAGCTTATTCCTCTTCTATTGCTCCATGACATAATGTATTAACTGCATTACACACACACACACACACACACACACACACACACACACACACACACACACACACACACACACACACACACACACACACACACACACCACAACACACACACCTCTTCCTAAGCCTCTCTCTACTCCCCGACAGTAATAAGTCTGTTCAGTTTGTTATGGTCCAAGTATGAACTGATAAGAGAATATATTGTATCCGTTTAAAAACATACACATCGGTTACTTAAGTCAACTTCCATTATGAAGTGGTTGTACATTAACACACTGACCCTGCCAAGATTTAATTCCCATTATTGCGACATATGCTTTGCAGCGGGAAACGAAGGCTGTGCATGTGACGGGTATTAACGCTGATAATGTAAAGCACTTAAATCACAACCAGATGGCATATTTCATGTGATCCTCAGCGGGGTGAAAAGGAAACTACATTTATAATCTGACCTTCTATAGAGAAGAGGAGGAAGGCTTCCATGTAAATACAGATATATACAATATGAAAGCTCAGCACAACATAAACATGACTTTTTCCTCATACATATTTATCTTTCATCAACACCTATCATCCTAGAAGATGAACACCCTGTCACATTTAGGTCATGACCACCATTCCACCACATTAGATCAATCCAAGAGTCAAAGAATAACTCAGTATACTCCCTTTGTTCACCTTCTACAGCTCCCAGATAAACCATTTCATACAGTTTGATCAGAATTAGGGCTGAACGATTAATCTATTTTGAATCGAAATCGCGATTTGAAATGATGCGATTATCAAATCACAAAGCCTGTGATTTTTTTTTACATTTTTTTTTTTTAAGACAGATTGATCCAATCACCTGCCAAGTGCTTCTGAAAGTGCCTGCCCTTTCCAAATGGCTTGAAATGGAGCTCTCCTAGATGGTTTGGTGAAACAAAGCATCTGTGTCAGGTTAGTAATGCTCCAACACATGTTTCTATTACAGGGTGAATCTGAAACTGAAGCTTGACTTTAAAGCAACCCAACGGACGTTTCATGTAAGTTTAGTTATTTCACTCGTAGCTCGGGCTGCGGGTGTGCTAGAGACGGGAGTACGTTGATACGACCTTCCTAGCCGGAGATATGGCCGCATTTTACAATAAACTTCCGTTGGGTCACTTAAAAACAAATATCGCAAATCGAATCGCAATATTTGTCAGAAAAATCGCAATTACATTATTTCCCAAAATCGTGCAGCCCTAATCAGAATGTGTGCTGCTAGACTCATGAAATGCAGTGCATCCACTCTGAAAACAAAACCCTTCTGTAAAATCTTCTGCATCAATGAATATTCAACTCACCCTGGCACAGATGCAGCCACGGGGGATTTAATGTTGAGCTTCACACTTGTTTAACTCACTTTAGTTCCCATTTTTCCAAAAGAGATACTAAAATGAATACTGTATGTTATTTTCTCTGCACATAGCATGCATATAGGTAGCATATTGGATCATATTATTCATTATAAATGCTTTATCCTGCATGCTAGGTCTAGTGTTTTCCTTGTTGCACATGATTTAGTACATACTAGTGAGCATATTACTCCAAATTAAGTGTTTCCAAACTACATTAAGCATTTTAATATAATGTACATGTATGTACATAAAGCACCTGTGACCAGGAGCATAAATCAAATGAGTTTTTACACATGTTAATAACTGTATAAGCATTCATAGTAAATACGTTATTATGACATCATTTTCAGTCAAAAGCAGAGCAGAGAGACAGATAAAGACAGACAGGAGCAGAGAGACAGAATAGAGACAGGAGCAGAGACAGGAGCAGAGAGACAGATAAAGACAGACAGGAGCAGAGAGACAGAATAGAGACAGGAGCAGAGACAGGAGCAGAGAGACAGATAAAGACAGACAGGAGCAGAGAGACAGAATAGAGACAGGAGCAGAGACAGGAGCAGAGAGACAGATAAAGACAGACAGGAGCAGAGACACTGGTGCTCAGCTCTAGGAGCACAGGCCATGCAGCTCACAGCTGAATCACTGTATTATTCCAGCCAGCTGCACTGGATCTGCTTCGTGGGATTTCCCAGGAGGCTTCAGACGCTAAAGGTTCAGGTGACTGCAGTGCCAACAGCACATTTATATGGATGTTTTATTCATACTGCGAAAGGTCAACAGACATGCAGTTTTCCAACAGCTTCATCGGCACACCGTCATACACCTGTCTCCAACGCTGGAATCAAACGCAGAGGAAACTGATGGAGCAGAGACACTGCTTATAAAACTGTAACTCCAGCCCAATCTGTGCTATGTCCAATGTGTTGGCATGAGTGAGCAGCTGTCAGAGTGAGTCAGAATAACGAAGCCAAGCGAGGATATGTGTCAGCCAGACACCTGATGCTCTGAACAAGCTTCAATCACACTGTGCTCATACACGTGTAATATGTCATGTTGAGGCAATGCATCATAAGCTCTCACCTGTCAATCAGGTGGATGGTAAAATCCCAATCACTGCAAAGCACTCCGTCATACATTTGGATTCCTAACACTGCAATTTGATTAAAAATCCATATGTTTTTCAGCATTCAGTATTTACCTCTCTGTATAGATATATAATCTTTTGTATTGTTAGTGGTGGAATCCCCCATGCCAGCACTAATTGCTGACCTTATCAGCCTGATTGTTCACTTTATCAGCGCTATAATATATAATGTCCCACATCGAATTATGTGATACACAATGACATGGTCTAAATTGATAATAACATGCTGATAATACTTTATCGTTAGTATGCGTGCATGTAATTAAAGTAAGTGTGTATACTGGGAAATATTAGTTTCTTCTCAATGATTTTATTTCAAATGTGGACTTCGGAAGGTCTTAAAGTGGACCTATCATGCTATATTTTAAAAATATATTGTAGGGCCATACCTATATAAAACATGTCTGTGACGTTTTTCAAAATACCAAACAGATCACCCATTGTAGCCATGCCTCTTACTGCTCAAACCCCTCTTTTGCAGCCCTGTTAGAGAAACGCGGATCTTGGGTCCTTAGCTTGAAAAGAAAGAAAGAAGAGGAGGCGAAGCTAATGCCTGATCAGAATTCTACCGGAGATAAAGTTAAATTCGGTTGTGATAAAACGCCATCCTGTTTAAACCATGTCAAGGATTATTTCTGAAATAGTATGGAGCTCAAATGCTTTTTCTCTTGTGGGTTTATCACAAGGTGAGTTCCTTTTTTTATTTCCTGCTTTTTAAACACATGTGCTCTTCAGTACAGGTTAGCTCTGAGTGTTAGCGAGGCTTGCTAATGTAAACAAAGACGTCCAAAACACGTCAGGCATTGTTTCTGTCTTCCGAGTCACTTCCTTCAGAAGCTAGGCAAGAATCCTTCCTGGCATTCGGGAAACGAAGAGTGGAACAGGCTAGCAAGTGTGCAGTTGTGCGTCATATGAGAGGCCCCGCCTTACATTTTACGCCACAGATTTGGGGAAATTGGTCCGTGCGCAAAGCATTGTGGGGATTTGAAGGACGCGAAGTCTACCCATGTGCAGACTCGAAATTACCCCCAAACCAAGGACGCGGCCTCGGTGGAATTCCAAGTATGCTGGAGATTGGAACAGTCCTTCGGCGGCACTCGATTATGTAGTATCCTTGAAATATTGGCTTCTGGAAGCCAGAATCCTCGCGATTGAGAAACGGCCTGTATCCGCTCGTTGTACACCCGTTTTTAAAAGATTTGGGTACGGAGGAAAAGAGAGAGGGTTTTATTTTCTGACGCTGCGTGAGTTCCCCGACGCACCGGGGACACATATTTATGTATAAAAGACATCACAAAGTGCATTTTGCATGATAGGTCCCCTTTAAGTAAGAAAATACTTTAAATGGCAGGATACAACATTTGTATTGAAAGTGTGCCTATTTGACATTTGTTATTTATTGACTCTTGTAACTGTGTAAACATCCAATGATTATAAAGATGACTTTCTTGAACTACATGCAGCAACAGCCCTGGACAGCAGTATCTTGGGATGCGGCCTGCAGGGAGGATTCAGTGTTATTAGTGTTTGGGGATAAGGGAGCCTGTCCCGGCTGAACACTAATGAACAGCACCATGTTGGATTACAAGACTCCTGGGGCTGCGTTAGCTTCAATCTTAGAGATGAGGGATGAGTTTATCAGCTGCTTTTACACCAACACAAACTGATTCGGAACATGAGATGTGGTTACTGCTGTCCTATTAAATGAAGTCCAGTGTTCCTCCAGGGACAGAAAGCCTGTGTGCTCAACCCACAACAGGGAAAGTGTGGTTCAATGAGTCTATCCATCTATGCAGAGTTTAGTGGAAAGTTTGATAAATGAGGGTTTGTGAGCTCACCATAGAAATGGCGACATTTTATATTCTTTACAATCAGTTTTAAACG